AGAAGGTCCATCAGGAACATTCAAATTTTTATTTCTATGAAAACAGCAAAATACAATATTAAAATGATGCTAATTATTACAAAATAAGAGTATTATACACTTTTTCTTTAACCCCTCCCCCAGTTGCTATTCCCCATTTGAGGTCATAATTCACGTCCTTATCATTGCGCAACATTTATTTTCTCCACGTCATCTCTGAGACTATAATTCAAATCTGCTTTCATTCCTGTGCCTTTCATGAAGCGAAATATGCTGAACAGAAATGAAGTTAAGAAAAAAATGAAGGGATACGATTTCTTTACGTTGCTGTTGTTCTCATAGTTAGAGTCAAATCGGACAGTGTAAAATAAGCTCATATTTTAAAGTAACAGACTATAGCTAAATGTGCGTGCTTTTGTTGGAGTTGTGGTTCGCAATTTTGAACTGAAATTATAGTGATTTGGTGTTGTTTGAAGTGCATTTTCTATGTACAGTTCGATATAGTACAATGTAGTGTAGGATGTCGATTTTTAAATCAGGATATAACGTGCTATTCCTTGTAAATCAAAAATTAGTTATTTCTCGAAGGCTTCTAAGCGCTTTATTTTGCAGAATTTGAATTTCATAGAGATTTATTTTTACTTCATGTCCCCATATGAGGGAGGCGTAAGGTAAGGCTGGGTGGGTTATTGTTCTGTACAATATCATTTCATTACGAAACTAAAGATTGCGATGTTTTCCGAGAAGAGCTCTCTTAAGTTAGTTATGGCAATATTAAAATTATATTTGAGTTTAGTAAAATGAGGTATAAAAGTGAATTTGTTGTCAAGTATAATGCCAAGATCTGCCTAGCTTCTTTTTTCCCTTGTATTTCTTCTTCAAATAACGTGGAGGCAGATGATAAATTATGTGACTAACCTTTATAAAATAAAACTGCATTGTAGTCGCTAACATTATTTAAAGTTCTCCAATCTGTGAACCAATCATCTGAGTATATCAAGATAATGTGAAAGTAACTCTTTTCAAGCGTTTTGGCCTGTGTTATACTATGTAATAGCTGTATCATCAGCGAAGAGTACCAACCGAATTGTAGGGTGTTGGGGGATGTCATAAGTATACATGTTATGTAATAAAGAACCTAAAGCTGGGCCTTGGTGTACACATACTTTAATCGGCTATGCGATGAATAAGCACTTCCGTGTCGGAAACTGAATAACCTTTTATGCAGAAAAGAAGCGATAATTAGAAGTAGATTTTCTATAAACTTGAGTTTGATTTGTTTATATAACAGAATTTATAAATGTTTCGCATTTGAAAAAATTGGTTTGCCATTAGGACGTATGTTATGTTCAGCATTATGCTTTGTTTTACAAATTAGTAAATCAGGGTTGGTGATTTCCGGAAAATGTGCCAAAATATTAGAAAATTTATTATTTTTGTTTAAGGTGCTTGTATTGATTAATCGATTGAGGATGCAATTTCACCAATAATGCTGAATTTAGTTACACTATCAATTAACATTTTGTTTTTAATATCAATCAATAAATTAGACCGGTTAAGGAACTCTGCACCCAAAATGCCTTTGCTGACTTTGGCTATGACAAATGGTCAATGAAAATTACGACAAAGCCCCAAAGCAAGAGTTAAAATTTTGTGTCCGAAACAGGGGATTTCAGTACCATTTGCAGCATAAAGTTTCAAATCGCTACCTTGTCATTACACGTGGGTGGAATTAGGCTTACGTGTGCACAATGTCAACCAAAAATTTTATCAATTACAAAAAGTCTGTAATTGACTTAAATTCTATAGGGCAATTCTTTGAATCTACAGCAGCAGAACCGGCCGCTAATTCTAATTCTGCTGCGCAGGCAAGTTTTCCGGGTTTTTCCAGTTACATGGCGGCTTACATTTTTCCGGAAAGCATCTGGATCCGAAAGTGAAGTGGTAATAACACAATTTACAATCCGGATTATAACGTCTCCGACTTCTACTTCTGCCTCTAGACGATGATCTGTTTTTCCTTTCTGTATGACGTCTTCTTTAATTTGGTTGGTGATGGAGATGGAATTCTTCAATCCGCTGTTCCAATGAAGATATTTTCAAGTAATTGTGAAGCAGTATTTGGAGACACGCTCGAATTCTTAACTTCACTTGAATAAGCCTCATATAAGTTAGTTTGTGAATGCATTTCGAAAACCTTATAAGCCACAATCGCCAATTTATCAACACCTTCATCACTAACCGCCAATATAACTTTGATATGGTGCAGCAATTTGTCCATCCATAATGTTTTTTAATACCTTGTTAGATATATCACTAGTTGCCAAGGTTTTCAGTTTTTGTAAGAGATGGCTGGGTTTCATTTCCCCAATTTCAATGCCAGTGAAAAGGCGTTTGATTCGTTTATTTTCCCTTTCTTTAAATATATTTAATAAACCATCTTTTGCCAATGAATATTTGTTTTCAGTCTTATCAGTTATTATCTCAAATAGAAACTACATATTTAGGTTCCATTTGTGAGACAATATAATTAAACTCTGTATCACTACTATATTTAAAAGAAAACAATTTATTATTCACTTTTTAAAGATGCTCTTTTTAGCAATCTTGCTTTTAAGGAAGAAGAAAGGAGATGAGGACTGGCGAACACCGTTTCCACCAGTCCGTGAGGAAGAGACACTCATGTTCTTTTTAAAACATCATCCTACCATTATTTTTATTTCTACTGTTGACACTCGCAGTCTACATAAAGTTCTACAAAAGAAAAGATTATATATTATTTGTAGAGATTACAGATTCTAAAGCGCTAAAACGCTGAAAAAAGAAGGAGACAAAATTATAAAAATCTGAAAGCCTTCAGATTTTATATTACGCCCAAAGCGGAGTTTTGTGTGTTACATTTATTTATTAAATATAATTTTCTTCGCACTTAAAACGTAAAATTCAGTTCAGCAGCAATATCGCAAAATAATTTTTTAAATGAGCATATCTTTAGAATTTCCGATTTACAGTCTCGCACCCTGGATATTTTTTTTTTTTTGTGCGTTGTTGCCATTGTTTGCTTTGAAATCGATGAGTTTGTTAATCAAAAATTCGTTAAAGGTTTAAAAAATATGAAATAGATAATAAAACAAATTCCAAATTTGGGCTTCCAGATGCCCATATTCGGGTGGAAACGTACGTTATTCAATATTTGATGGCTCTAGGTACCGTGCTTTATCACAATGTGAGAAACATACATTTATGCAGAAATATAATGCAGGGCTCTAATATTTGGTGGCAATAATTTGAAAAGTGAACCGACATTTATAGCAAAGAGGTTGGAATAGACCTCGTATTCTAACCTATTCCTTGATTCTCTATTCTCCTATTCCTTGATTCATAGTAAATCAACACAAAATTCCAAAACGAAATTAATAGTCCTTCTGGGTAAATTGCCCCTTTGGACTAATAATTACGGCTCGATATGAATGCTTAAGAATTGGGAGGTAATGATTAAGGTTTCATTAAGGCATTAATGAAAATTCAACTTTGTATATGAATTGATTTATTTTAATCACGAATTTCCCGAAGAATTTAAATGGCATGAGAACTAAACCAAATATTAATTTCTGCCAAGTCCCCTCATATAGTGATTTGTATTACACTATGCTCTAAAAAAGAGAATAATTGATTAAAGCAAATGCCTACCCCTTCCAGCTTTAGTTCACTGAAAGAACCTCACTAGCTTTAGTGCCACTTTTATTGTATTACTTTCCTCCTCGTATGTCTTCCAGCGTTTTGGGTCGCCTGGTTTTCCGATATACAAGGTGTACCATAAATGTTGCAACAAACTTGTAACAGAGGTAAGGCAAAGTAATAAGGATTAAGAAATTGTATAGGAACCCATGGCCCGGAAATGTCAGAGGTAAGTGGTAGCAGAGGTAGAAGATGGGAAAAGAAGCATCGATGGTTTGGGCGTGGTGAATCTGTTCCCTGCCTTCCACACGCTCACCTGATTTATCAAGCCTTGATTTTTTTTGTGTGTGGGAGGGGGAGCCATCAAAAGTGTCGTGTATCACGATCCTGTTGTGTCTGAAATGGATTTCGTGTGACTAATTTTAAACATTTATTGGACATGAATACAAATGGTGTACGGCAGCTTGAATATTACAACAGATACTAACTGTTTGCACCATCAGACGCCAAACATGCCTGACACCAGCGAATGCCGCGAATTATTTTATCTTTCTGGAGCAGGTTCTTCACGACTTGCTGAACGATATTCCACCGAATGTGAGGCGCAACATGTGATCCCAACATGATGGGGCGCTTGCTCATTTTGGACTGGATGTTCGTAGCCGTTTGAACAGATCATTCCCGCATCGATGGTTTGGGCGTGGTGAATCTGTTCCCTGCCTTCCCCACGCTCACCTGATTTATCGAGCCTTGATTTTTTGTGTGGGGGGGGGCCATCAAAAGTGTCGTGTATCACGATCCTGTTGTGTCTAAAATGGATTTCGTGTCAAGACTCGCCTGCGCACGTGCTACAATCAAAGAAACTCATGGTGTGTTTGACCATGTTCGGCAATCGATGGTGTCAGGCATGTTTGGCGTTTGGTGGTGCAAACTTCGAGCATCTGTTGTAACATTCAAGCTGTCGAAACACCATTTGTCCAATAAATATTTAAAATAAATCACTCTCTTGTTTCGTTTCTCATCTTCTACCTCTGCTACCACTTACACCTGCTATTTCCAGGTATAGGTTCCTATGCAATTCTTAATCCTTGTAATGTGCCCTACCATTGAATAAAAAATAAAAAATTGTACTTTTTTTTTTTCCCGTAATGGATGACAAATGATATGACATTTTAAGTCATACTTTTAATTTTTTTTAACTTCCTTCGTCATTCAATGTTTAACTTTTTTTTTTCGTAGCTAGCCTACATATGCTTTCGCGTTACAGAGAAAGCCACGCAAATAATAGATAGTTGTAAAAGTTAGCAGACGGTGGCATTAATTTTCTTTTCCGCCGAGTTTCCTTTTCGGTCTGTTTATGCGGTTAAGCGAAGATTTGCTGTCATTGGAGGGCAAAAGTGGTCTTATGTGAATTAGTAATATGTGCAACTACATATTCCTAAGCGAGATGATGTAAGAAACCTGCGATTATCGTTGCTCAAGCGTATCTTGAAATAAACATTGATCTTATATTGATAAGATGCAGGCTGTGAAACTGATAATGAATTATTTCTGTACTTGTTTTATATTTTTAAATTCCAGGACTTAATATAATATTTGTACACTGACTGTTTACTTCAATGGCTTCAACAGAGCGAGGATTTTATGTCGGTACTCGTACATTTTCGTGGTTAGCTGAGTTAATACGTCTGCCTATAGACCAGGTATTTTAAACTGAATCATTTAAAAGTCACTTGATCCCAAATAATGATACCCGTGCATTTATTTTTTACACTGTATAGATAGCCTATTTCATATTTATGTTTGTTCTTATACATGCTTTTGAAATGAAAAGAAATTACCCTTTTTTTTACTGTCTTCTTGATTTTCTAAAAAAAAAAAAATAAAAATGAATTATTAAATTCCAAATTAAATACTTTTATTTATTAAATGCAATATGCTTAAGATTTTATATTGTTGATGGGAAAATATAACAGCAGACATCTGTTGTTTCACTTTTGCAATTGTATCAGTATATTTGTTCTATGATAACAGAAACTGCTTATCAAAATTTTGTCTGAAATGATTATTCTTAATTACTGACTTACTCTTTATGGAAATTTTCTATATCACCTTTATAGCTGATAACAGACAACAGAAGACTGCCAACTGTAAATTGTAAAAAATGTGCAACCAGTATACAACTTTTGAATCACCTTTTCTGAACACAAAAAATATATCTTTAAACGAATATTCTTTCCTTCTGCATAATCTGCAAGATATATTATTATTAATGCTTGGAAATCTAGAACTTTTGAGACTTTTATGTTAGTATAATGTGCAACTAAATAGTTTAAACTTGTGTAATTTTTTTATAGTAAGAAATCAAAAATTTAGTCATTAAAATAAAAATTAAAACTTTTCCTGTTGAAAATTTTGAAGTTTATTAAATATTTTTAAATAAAATTTTGAATTTTGATAATAAACACTGTGTTTTCTGTTATTCTATTTTATGAAAATATATGTGTTACTGTAAACGGTATCCAAAATGTAGTTTTTTATTCAAATCTTTTCTTAGGTGAATTTTTTAGTCTGCCAGTTTACTGCATTGGCATTTGCTGTTTTATACAGAAAAGCATTTTGTCCACAAAGGGTATCACCTGAAATAAGGCATGTTGTCGCTCTGGCAATTGGTATTGGCCTAGGATATTTCTGTTTTGGATAGTGAGTATCTCAGTTTGTATATTTATATATTCATTTCATAAAATATTGATCTAGATATGTTGTTGAAGAAACCATTAATTTTAAAAGAAAGGTAATATGCGATATAGTACATTACCAGTACTTTTTTCTTCTCTCTCTTTTTTCCCCTCCCCTTTTTTAACATGCTAGATTTTGGAAATCTTGATATTATGTAGAAAATTTGAATTTTTATTAAAATTCGGTTACATAAATATGTGTTAAAAGTATATTTATGGGAACCCCTTGGCAAAAATTGGCGGTACAGGAATACCAAGTTTGTTCATTTCTTTGACTTCTTTCTTTTCGAAAATATCAAATCAAAGAACTGCACAAACTCAGTGTCATGTACCGCCAATTGTCACCAAGGGACGGCTATGAATATATTTTGGTTGATCTTTGGATTATGGTAACTTGGCGAAAATTTGGCGACCAACTCTGCTACAGCAACCCTCTATGTTTTTTTTTCGCCGCCTTCTTTTCTTTTTATTCACTGAACACTTTTTCCAACAACCTACTAGCCGAATTACACTTATGCTAGAAATTTTATGTAACAAAACTGCTTAATCATGACAAATATTAACTGCAAAATTGGGAAAAGTGCACAGTCGCAAACTGCTTGCGCGTTTTTCAGAATAGCACATACACATAAACCATTTACACATCAACTTATTTTTACTTAAAAAAACATCCCAGAATTGCTCAAAAATGGTATTGCACACTCTCTTAACTTTATCCATCTACACTGCTATTTTCTCATAAATTACAAAAATTTCACGAAAATGCAAAAAAATTCTGTGAATCTTTAAACTTGGTAAAAAGAACATATATGAAATTACCTGATCACGAAAAAGTATATACCCTTTCCAAGGATGAACATTTCCACATATAAAATAAATAAAATATCCAAAAACTTTTACCTCTAAATTATCTATTATATTATAAACGTCACCAACGAATTCATACCGCAAACATTACAAATGGTTACAAATACTTAGTGTCAAATATTTAAATTATTTCCATACACGTTTACTTCAACTGAAACGTATACCAAATTCCTACAAACATAAAATTCACAAAATAACTATCATTTAATTAAAATATCACTAAACCAAGTACATGTTGACTTATTTTTACTTAAAAAAAACATCCCAGAATTGCACAAAAATGGCATTGCGCACACTCTTCACTATATCCATGTACACTGCTTTTTTTCTCATAAATTATAAAAATTTCACGAAAATGCATGAAAATTTTGTGAATCTTTAAATCCGGTAAAAAGAACATATATGAAATTACCTGATCTCAAAAAGTATATACCCTTTCCAAAGATGAACATTTCCACATATAAAATAAATAAAATATCCAAAAACTTTTACCTCTAAATTATCTCTTATATTATAAACGTCACCAACGAATTCATATCGCAAACATTACAAATGGTTACAAATACTTAGTGTCAAATATTTAAATTACTTCCATGCACGTTTACTTTAACTGAAACGTATACCAAATTCCTACAAACATAAAATTCACAAAATAACTATCATTTAATTAAAATATCACTAAACCATGTACACGTCGACTTATTTTTACTTAAAAAAACATCCCAGAATTGCACAAAAATGGCATTGCGCACACTCTTCACTGTATCCATGTACACTGCTTCTTTCTCATAAATTTGAAAAATTTCACGAAAATGCATGAAAATACTCAACGTATTCTACTCAAACGTATTCCAAAATACTACAAACATATAACTCACAAAATCACGATCATTAAATTAAAATATAATTAAATTAAAAACACTACTTAAAATATAAATAAGCACATATATTAAATTAATAAAAATTAGATTACAATCCTAATTACTTTAAACTAAATCATTGCTAATAACAATTTTCCAATAATATCATATTAATTTATTTACTCCTTACATTTAGAACAATGCATAAAAATAATATCCTCAAATGATTAAAAATACTAACTCACCTAATCTTCAGAATCTTCATTACGTGGCACGCACACTTCCACTATTTCACACAACACACAATGAAGCTTAATACAAAAAATAATATAGTACTACAGTTTTCCAAATTCCCCCCCCCCTTTTCCGATTAAAGAACTGTAATTCGTCCATTAATGTCACATGACATATCTCATGATCTCTCATTTCCCTCACACAAATAATGCATAATCGGAACTGAGTACTTCTCACATTATTACCAAAGTCCTAGGTAGTAACCTTTATCGCCTCCAAAATGTCACCAAACTACCAGTTACCATATTCCAAAGATCAGCCTATATTTTTGCCTGTTTATCTTCAACACTTTAGCGTCCTCATTTAAAGCGATTTTACTACTCATACACCCTGATAACGATGCATCACCATATACTGTTTGAATCATCTCGAACATTTTGGTAGCCGATTTGTAACAAATTAAGTTATAATGTTGTTCCATCTAAAAGCAAAATTTTTGTGCTATGACTTCTCAGTTTGTGCTGTGACTCTAATTCTGATGACCCTCACATCTTACAGAAGTGGGTGTTATAATGAGTGATCTATATATCAAAAGCAAATTTAATATTTTCTCACCATTTAGGAATCGCTATTTTTATAATGGGTTGGTCTAATAAATGGTCTTTATAGTGAGCATTGGCTGTGTGAACATGATACAAGTGTCAATTTGCTCTAAAATCTAATGTATACACTGCGAAAAAAAAGGGGGAATAGTTCTATATCGCCCATTCTAATGGGCCAATTGAAGAAATTCAAGTTGCATTTTCCATGTCTCGAAAGTGTGACTTAGGATATATATTAGATTTATATATAGCATTGCTCTCGCATAGGCATTTTGACACAAAATCGGACTTTTTTTAAAATAACGCACCAATTTTTTTCCATATTTTGGTTCTACGACTCAAATTATGCCTAGATATTAAATTTTGTAATTTTTGGTAAGAAATTTTAAAATTTATCGTGGCTTATTTTTTTCAGTTTCAGCCAAGACTAATTCACTTAGTGAATTTCTTAATTTATACCAAACTATTTTCCTTTCTTTTTTTCCATTGTCTACAACCAGAAAAAAGTTATCGTTCATACTTACAAATAATTTTAACAAAATGCGTAAACCACATTTTCGTTATTATCGCTTATAATAAATACGCCAAATTTCAAAATGCTCCAAAATGTAAATTCATGTATATCTTAGGAAATTTTTATTTAAAAAGCTCTAATTTTTTGCAGGTATGCTTAGAAAGACATCTAGCTTTAAGATGATGGCAAAACTTTCATAGATTATGATTCAAAATTTTTTCGAAAAATTATTATTATTATTAAAAATTATTTTAAAATGTAACTTTTAAAAATAAATCATAAAAAATGGGCGAATTTTATATGAAATGAACCTAAATTTCGAAATATAAAAGGAAGGATTAAATAAGTTTAATAAAAAAAGAGATATTAATAAATATATATCAAATTCAATTAACACTGAGAAGCTAAAATTTTGAGAGCTAATTTTTAAAAAATATTCTTGCAGTTTTTACAAAATTTGGTAGTATAGCATAATTTGAGTCGCAGAATCAAAATGTGGAAAACAGTTGGCATGTCATTTCAGAAAATGTCCGATTTTGTGTCAAAATACCTATATTAGAACAATGCTATGTATAAATCTAATACGTATCCTAAGTTGTGCTTTCGAGACATGAAAAATGGAAGTTGAATTTCGTCAATTGGCCCAGTAGAGCAGGAGATGTAGAATTGTCCCATTTTTTTTTCCTTTGCGCATTGTACAAATACTATGGTCTTTCAATATACACCTTTGTATTTGCCAAGATGGGAATCTATGTATATTTTTTGAAGTCCATTGCTGGTATGAATACTTTAAAGAATTTTGATCAATTTTAATAATTTATGCAATGCAATTGAAATAATTATAAAAGCATTTCTATTTATATTCAGTTGGTGCTTACAGAGTGCATTAAAAAACTGTCATTGTGTCAAAGATAAGATGTTATCATTGTGCACTGAAAGGAGACATTGAGCAAATATAATATCGAAGAGATGCTGTGAAACAAAAAGGGCCTTTTACATTGAGATTTATCTGAGCTAATGGAGTCAATTCCATATGTGAATTAGCTCTGCTGTATGTGAATAACAAGTAACAAGTCAAGTTCATCTTTAATAAAAAGTTGCTTAAAGCTGACACTCCAGCAATGCATTGCATTATCCTCTTTTACAGTTATTGCAACTGATACTGAGCAATGCATCAGATCGTCTTTGGATTACAATTTTAAAAGCATGGAATAATCGTGAACTTATGGCTATGATTATTTACATAATCATGATAAATAATCATGAATTTCACGTATGGCTTGGTGTCTTGGAAATAATCTATTCATCACTACTTCACCTTTGTTAATGTGCTTCCAAAAATCCATTTGTTTCCATCTGAATATCTGAAAAGTAAGAAAGTAAAAGTGCTGTTTAGTATTCCCACTTGCAGTTTCATAAATATTTGATACACTTTTTCATTTCTTTATAGTTGTTTTCATAATGTCTGCATCAGCAGATGATCATATGATTTTGGTTAGATGTATATGAATAGTCATAATAGTTGGAAACTCTTATAACTTACATTAATTATGGAATTCATAAAGTAATGATGAAAACAGTCATGTATTTATTTGTATATTTATCAATTTATTTCCACTTTTACAGCCAAATATCTCATCTGGTTGTACAGGCTACCTTAAGTTATATCATAATGAATACTGTTAGTCCTCAAATAATGCATCGGTAAGTGTTATTCTTCATATCATTACTGAAAGTGATTACAGCTGATACTTGCTGATTATCCACACCACTGGTTCAGGTTATATACATTCAGGGATATATACTTATTGTTTTGGGCATATTTTTAGTATACATGCAACAGTTGCTAAATCAAGTATACACATCATTCACGTGTTTAAGTGCATGTGAATTTAATGTGCTTTATATTCAGTTATCATTTTGATGAACAATATCCACCGAATGTGAAAATATGAATATCAACCATATAAATTTCTAAATAACTCTTGATAGGACAATAAATAGCCTGTGTATTCTCCTCTCAATAAAATTCCCAGTTCCATACTTCAGGATCCCATTTCGGATATGAATTCCTGATGTATTGACAGGATTCCTTGCCAGTGTGGTTTTATTTACATGGGTCAAACTAAGAGAGTCTTAAAATTTTTGTGTTGAAGAACATGAGGCACATGTTAGGAAAAAAAACACAAAAGTCCTCTGTTGCCCTGCATTGTTGATCCAAATAGCACATTTTCCATTTTTCTGTAGCCAAAATTATTCAAAAAAGATTTTCCATTGGTGAGTTAGATTTTCTAGAGACATTCCACATTAAAATATATATATATGTATATATATTTGTTCTTGTTAACGACACTAATTTCAATCCATTTTACCTTCATCCTTTAAGAAAATTATGTTTTAGTTTTCTTGTTAAATCAATAAGATGGCAATAGTAGCTTAACTCCTGTCCAGCCATTCTTATCTTATCTCGTTCATTTGCACTTTGGCAGCTGAGGGTGATTGTTCAGTAAAACTATCAAATTTAATCCTGAGAAAATTTGAAAACATAACGCTGATTTTTGTTGTTTGACCTCTAAATTAATATTTGTTCAGTTTGTTACGTTAACCTAAATTATAGAGGAGTTACCTGTAATTTATTTTACATCTTTAATTTATGTTAATTTTAAACTGTAGAAATGAAATATGATATGAGTGGGATTTGTTCTGCATTACCTATATTTTAGGTATTAAGAAGTGTGTTAGTGTTCAGTTTTGAATAATTTATTATTGTGCAGGATGAAATCAGAGATTTGCTCTTTTTTTGTCTATTCATGTTATTTTTATCATCTTTAAATCAACTCTAGTGCATTTTAAAGCATTTATTTTATTTTAATAATGTTATTTTAGTAATGTAAACATTTAACCAAATAGTTCTTACAACTTTACAACAAACTTTGTTTAAAATATTTGGTTTTAATAATATTTGGTTCATGGTGTAATGATAAATTTAAAAAAAAATTAAGTAGCTAAGTGACAAATAGCACAGGGCCAAAATATTTAAGCCTCTAGCTATAAATATATATAGTGTATAAAATATTTACATTAATACAGACCTAAAAAAAATATGATATACCTAACGAGGATAAGAAAATCCAATCAAAAAACTTTTAATTACTTTGATATTAAACTGTTCTTCTCTGTCATGCGTGCTACCTCATATAGGTCATTGTTTTCAGCCATCTGAGCTTGCTTAATTCTCTGACTGGCTCGTTCCAAAACACCCATCAGAAAGAGTTATTTTCTTGATTTTAAGGCCAAAATGCCTCTCTGCTGTATACCTGGATATATGTACTTTTAATATATTGCCTTAATTTCTTGAACATGTTTCAAAATAATTATACTTTTTTTTAATCTAAAAGCTAAAGGATAAGTGGTAAGTTATTAAAATATACAAACATACTGCATATGCACTTATCTCAATATCCAAAGGCAGTTTAGAGCAGCTGGAAACAAAATACTGCTATAACATTCATAAGTTGTTTCAAAATGGAAGCAAAGTAGCAATAATTTGTAACATGTCTGAAATATAGTCATGGACTATGTCATGTCATCTGACACATATGCATTTTGAGCAGACTGGAAATGGTCATTGCAAAACTATATGTGCATTCTTTGATTACAGAAAACTCCTCAAACTCAAAATTTTTGTCCCAGTTTCATATTCATAAATATGTGTGTAGACGCTGGGCCATCAATGATCAGAGAGTATTTGACAGTTTATTTCAGTATCTATACTTCTTTCAAAATTTTCTCCCTTTCTTGCCTTAAATGTTTTACTCTATTCTGGTAAGTAGCATGTTGTTAGAGCTGCTCTGCTCATAAAGCTCTTATTTAATCCAATAACAGCTTCAAAACATTCATGATGTTGGGCTTGAAAATTGCAAGTGCTAGTAAAATGAATTGTTCTTATTTCTACCATTCTTTGAAACACTATAGTATGCTGTACAGAACCAGAAGGACTATATTTCTTCTTCTTCTTTTTTTTTTTTTTTTTTTTTTTTTTTTAGATTATGTTAAAATGTTCATAGTTATAAAAGAGAGAGTATGCTGTAATGTAGGGGTCTTCAACTTTTCACGCCTGAGGGCACATCAATAAACTCAAAACGATCTGTGGGTCACATGTCTGTCAAAAAAATAGTGTAGTCAGAAAATTTATTTTAAAAAAAAAAGGTCTGTTTTGCAAAACTACAACTGATTCTAGGCGAAGAGATAGCGTTACAGATTTGTATATCTATAAAAATGCATTTACAATAAGAAAAAGAAAAAAAAAAACTTGCATTACTGCCGGGAGATGGTAATTACTTTAGTTTTAATGTGAAATTTGTCATTATTTTTGCTTTATTAAAGCTTCAATACCCAGTTTAATCTGTGTTGTTGCAATTTGTTAAGTTTGCTTCAAATGTCTGTCTGTGAGCCGTGTTCATGTTTTTGATGTAGGATTTTCATTTTACTAAAAAGCTGTTCACAAGTAGGTACTGCCAAAGGTAGAAGACATGAAGAGTGCATGTTTACGAATTCCTGGATACTTGTCTTCAGTCACGTACTTCGAATAAATATTAATTAATGTAGGAGTTTCAGGAAACTTGCATTTTACTGCAATCACACTGTAAAACTATAAATTCTAATTGAACTAATTCAGGTGAAACACTTCCAACGTCTACTGAAAATGGCAAAGAGAACATTCTGATAAAAATTTCATTTTCACGAAAATCAGAAAATCTGTTTTGAATTCCTCTTTCAAATTTGAAATACATTGTATATAATTATTTGAATTCCATGTTGTAGAGTGCTCCATCAGTTTTGGAAAGTGAGTGAAATTCTTATTTAGCAACTGACTTTCTCACAAGATTAATTTTGTCTCAAAAGCTTTTACATAATAATAAAGATTATGAACAAGTAGATCTTTTCCCAGTAAGCGGTAGTTCAAATCATTGAGATTACCTATAATATCGGCAAGAAATCCAAAGTCTCCCAACCATTTCTCATCCCTGAACTCATGAATAGATTTCCCTTTAGATTCCATGAATTGTTGAACTTTGCTCTTCAAACAAATCAGGCGCTGAAGCACCTTTCCTCGGCTCAACCAATGTACTTCTGCGTAATACACAACATCACCATATTCAGCTTCCAAATCTCTCAAGAACTGTTGAAGTTGCCTGTGATTAGGTCCTTTAGACCGAATGAAATTAACTACTTTTTCAACAACGTTCATCACATGTTCAAAGTTTGTGAAGGACTTCTTGCACAAATTTTCTTGGTGGATGATGCAGTGAAAAGTCATCTTAGTATTATTTCCACCTGCCTTCACATCAGATTTGGGTAATGTTGTTACTCCTATTTTCTCTCCAGGCAATAAAGCACCATCCGTGGTATATGTTACTGAAGTCAACATTACATTTATCCAAAGTTTGTGTCAGACTGAAATACAAATATACTGTTCCTTGTGTTGTACCTTTAAGTGCAGTGACACTTTCTAATTCCTCTACAATTTTGAAGTCTCTATCAACACCAGGAATAAAAATGGCTGCTTGTGCAGTATCTGTTGCATCTGGTGGTGATTCATCCATCGCTACAGAATAAAACTTTTTTTTTTTTTTTTTTTTTTTTTTTTTTTTTTTTTTGCGTTTGCGCATTTCATTTTTGCATTTTGCCTTTATGCACATCGCTACTGTCACACCTGGCAAGCTATTCGATATGACTCGAGCCTGTGATGGACAAAGCACATCAACTGCATACTGAAGACATTCTTTTGCAAATTCTCCATAAGCAAAGTGTTTTCCATGCTTCGCAATTTTTTCTGCTATCATGTAACTAACACGAATACTATTTTCAGATTCTTTATTCACTGTGGTGAAGAAAGACTGCTGAAAATTTAGTTTTGATTTTAATTCACTGACCTTATCACTTCGAAAATGGCCTTCCAATACAGAATATTTCTCACTGTGTTTAGCATCATAATGTCTCTTAATGTTGTGTTCCTTCATCGCAGTTACACTGTTATTGCAAATAAGGCAAATTGCCTAAAATTAGTCATTTTCAGAAAATTTTATCTCAAATAATATCAGGCATGTCAATAAAATGTTTTAAATATCAAGAATAAGAAAAACAAAATTTAAAAACTGACAAGGCAATTTTTCTTGAAATCAAAATTTCTTAAAACTCTTCAATGTTTCTTCAAATTTAAATGTAGGGCCACTAAAATGCCTTCAGCCACTAAAATGCCCGCTGAAGGCATTTTAGTGGCCCTACATTTAAATTTGAAGAAACATTGAAGAATTTTAAGAAATTTTGCTTTCAAGAAAAATTGCCTTGTCAGCTTTTAAATATTGTTTCTCTTATTCATGGGGGCCACAGGTTGAAGACCCTTACTGTAATGCATAGTCTACATTACTTTATTTAGTAGTAAAGAATAGATTGCATTGTAGTGAATAGAATACTTTGATATTATTTAATTTAATGTTGGTAAAGTCTTAATAATTTATCAGCTAAACTGAAAATTATGTATGTTAATGCGAGTGTCTTATTTTATATAACTAGCTACACGTGTTGTTGTAAAAAAGAAAAATATGTAAGTTATTATAGAAAAAGAAAAATATATAATGATTGTAACTAGTCTTGCTGGTGCGACTTAATGGTTATAACTAGTAGTTAATAGTAATAGAGGTAAAAAATGGAATTAATTGTTTATTTTCTTAATTATAGATAAATTTTAAAAAAAGCATATGGAAAATGTAGGAAATGTGATGAAACTGATATTGTGAGAATAGTAAAGGCATCTCATATCAGATGGCTAGACCATGTATTTAGATATGATGATGCATTTCCAACCAGAAAGATAACCTTTTCAAGAATTGAGGTCTAACTTGGAAAGACAACCTTGGTCTGTAACAGGCTGTGGAGCTTATGAAGAAGAAATAATAATATTAATAATAAAAACTTTAAATATCTTATGCTTTGACAAATGCAACATATTGATGCACTGAAGGTAAAAATATTTGAGGTACTATCACAGTATCTGCTGAACTGTGACAAGAAACTCTGTTCAAGTGCTATATTGCCAAAATAGGCAATTTAGAATTTTACGAAAATTGTGTTTATCTAAGAACCCACTAATGATTGCACATGCATTAGGCCAGTGTATCTTGCTGCTATCATGTGATGTGTATGATTTTAAAATTCGAGGGTCATGTTTGTAGTTTCTGTATGTTGTGATTAGTGAGTAGAATTTTTTTTTTTTTTTTTTTTTTTTTTCCTTTTCCTTGTAATGCCACTGTAGAATTTGCCTACTAATAAAAAGTGTTGCATTTTTTAGAAACATTTTGCTTGGTAATGTACCTTCCATTAAGTTAATTTGTGCAGATCTTTTTTTTAAGTTTAAATAGGTTGATGTTGAGAGCAATCTTGAGAATTCTGCAGTCCATGCTTTTGAATTAAAACAAATAACGGTACTTTTCCGTTTTGCCGGCGCAAGCGATAAAGTCGCCAATAATGGTACAACTGATGCCAAACGGAATATTCTCGCTGGTAACCTTTTACGTCTCATTTTCAAAACAAGTCGCAGCTTTTTCTTATCAGATTGATTGTTTTTTTCAATACTGGCATATAATTACATAGAATTTTTATCAGATAGTTCAGTTTTATATCTAATGCCTTTTTTGGTAATTAAGACAATTAGGATGCAATCACAGCGCTTACCTGAAGCCGAAAATATAGAAGAAAAGGTAAAGTCAAGGGTTAAATTCATCCATTCTAATGAGAATGCATTAACGAAGTAAAGCACTACAGTTTTGCATAATTTCTGAGTAAGCTATTCGTACGAATTGAAATATTTCTTGCATTTAAACATGTGTTCCAAATTAAGATTTAACTTGAAATTAATGTAGATAATTACTGAGAGCATAAGATTTTTGTAGAGTAGTTTACGTGAGATGATATCGCTTGGGGTCACATGATATGAACCGGCGAATCAGGATGTTGAACCATGAAAGCATAGTAAATTCTTAATGTCTTTTTAAAAATTTATTGGCTTTTTATAAAATTTTAAGCGATATTAAGATGTTTATGCCTTCTTTTTTTAAAAGAATTCTTAGAACTAACATTTTTTTAAATATTTTTTATGTGTATACTCTATGTTGTCGCCAATAAAGTCTGTTTGGCGAGATTTGCGCCGGCGAAACGGAAGAGTACCCAAATAACCTTGCATGTGGATAGAAAACCAGAAAAACAGAAAGGGGTTTTATAAAGGATATTGAATGTTTCATAATTTTTAATTTAGTTAAATTTGTTGCTGTTTTGTGTAATTTTGAGTATTTCATTATGGAATTTTGTTTTAGGTAATTTTTAGCATTTCATTAAAGATGTTTCTTCTGTTTTTTAATTTCATCCATTCGTTGATATTTTATGTAATTTTTAACATGCCCTCGTTTTTAAAATAGCTACTGTTTTTCATGTGGTAGGTGAAAAATAAGCAGCCAATGGTTGGTGATTTTGTGGGAGGATTAGATGGATATTGCAAGAGTACCATATTTTATTTCGGGCATTGGCAACACATTTCTTTTAAATTACTAAGTTTGTTAATTAAATTAAAAAGACAAATATCTTTCATTTTGCCAAGTGGCAATACATTTGTTTTAAGTTGCTGAGTTTGTTTATTAAATTTTGGAGACAACTATCTTATAGCAGCACATTGCTTTTACTTTGTTGGCTGTGTTAATCAAAATTTCATTAAGTTTGCACTAAACGTGAAATAAATAAAAACAAATTCAAAATTTGGCTTTTTAGGTGTGCCTTTTTGGGTGGGGACTTTTCGTGTTCAAAATTTGGTGGCTGTAGGTCTTGCTATTTTTCCACAGTGCAAGGAAGATACATTTATGCAAATTCTGCATTAGAGATGTTCTCTTGTTGTTATGTTATTATGCTTGGTTTCACATATTCACAATAAATCTTGAAATTTGTTACCCACAAATATGGAGACACTAAAGTATTTTTTAAATGTTTGGCTAAACATATAAAACAGATATAACTTTCAGAAATATATTTAAACATGCTGTATACGTAGCAGGTGAGAAAATTGCATTACTGTATTCTGATCAACATAGTATATTTTTGTTTTAACTGTATAAAAATATCTTGTGGATTTTATACTTCTTGTGGAGATTGACAAATTAACTATTAAATCTACTTCATCTTTAGATATCTCATTTAGAAGAAATGTATAAATTCATCCATAGTAAGTTCCATTTTATTCTAGGTGAACAAAATCAAATATTTTATTTTTATTTCAAATGAAAAAGAATTATTTCATCTTTTATAGAACAGGTTAATAAAAACTTGTTTCATAAGTTTTTCATGTTAGGTATTATTTCTTTATATAGTCTTGTTTGAAATACTTTATGACTAAAGGTTTTTTGTCAGTGCTCTTTAATTCTTGTAACATTGTTATCATAACTATCATTTTTATTCCAGGTTGGTGCTGTTTGTTTCATTAATGTATTTATCATATATGCATCTTATGAGGTTGACATATGATTATGGAGGTTGGACTGTAGATGTTACTGGGTAAGGAAGGTATCTGCTTCACAATTAATTTGTAGCATACCCTTCCCAAAAATTTTTAAAATAATGATCTGTTAAGGAAGGCCATTGTTTATGTATTTTATTGATGAAACAAATTGTGATTGATGTCTGTTGATTGGAGTGTTATTAAGTTCAGTGGAGGATTATCTGCTTCAGTGATCTTAGTTTTAGGAAAGCCAAAACCTAGCAATGCACATTTAATGTTGAACTGTGTTTTACAACCAAAAGTCTAAATTTGTTAAACAAATATGCATTCTGTGTAAGGATTAAAGAAAAAGATAACTACCTCCCTCAACCAGATGAAATATTTTATGTAAAAGAGGAATGCTTTGTAAAACTTAGGATTAATTTAAAATCTTTAACTGTCATAAAAGATGTGAGGAAGCTAATGCTGACTAACAAGAGAGATCTAGTCAATATTATAGCCTGAAATCTATAGTGAATACAAAAATAATGGATTTTTGTTTGAAATGTTTACCTAAGGACATGTAAAAATTAATTTTAAAAAATAGTTATTGAAACATTTATAACTGACTTATAAATATGTTACTTTTGTCAAAATTAATTAAAACAAATTAGTAATTGACTGTTATTATATGAAGTTGAGCTTAGCTTCATTTAGCTGAATAGTTATGGAAATCCACTGCTAGTATTTTGATAAAGGTGCCTATCCCCATTTTAGTAGTTGTGATCTTAATAACTGGTGATGGAATCTTTTCAATAACTCTTTGTTAGCATAGTAAACAGTATTAAGTGGTGACTATGTCTGGCACAGAGCAAGTGCTGTAACGCATTTTAATATTACTTATAAGAATTGAGTATGGGTTTTGCTTTGTGGTTACAGCATTTTTTCGTGTATGTCTTTGAATCGCAAGTAAGAAAGTATTATCTCAGTGAAATGTGAAACTGTTGCCTCCATGTAAATAATAATAATAATAATAATAATAATAGTCATAGTAATAATAATAATAATAATAATAATAATAATAATAATGCTTTCCAAAATGCCTTAGCAAACATCAAAGAATTTTTGACTGACTGAAAGTGTCCGAGCAAGGAAACCTAGTAATGTGAAACTGTTGCCTCCATGTAAATAATAATAATAATAATAATAATAATAATAATAATAATAATAATAACTAATATAATAATAATAGTCATAAAATAATAATAATAATAATAATAATAATAATAATAATAATAATAATAATGCTTTCCAAAATGCCTTAGCAAACATCAAAGAATTTTTGACTAAAAGTGTCCGAGCAAGGAAACCTAGTCCTAGCCTTCTGTTACCTAATTCACTCCCATCATACCACATTGTCATCTCAAAGATCTGTCAGTATGCTAAATTTACTTTGACTGTTTACTGTATAGAATATTAGTTGATTTACAGTCTACTGATGTTATTGTTGGCAGCATAACAACGGCAGTAAAACAAAGTGTGCATTTTCAGATGTTATGGGTGGATTCTGAGCAGAAGCCCAGAGTGAAAACCAAAGCAGTCTATTCCAAAATAGACAGTTCTTTCATAATTTTTTTAACTCTTTTGCATCGAAATCACTCTTAATGCCCATTCATTCAGACATCGGCAGGTCGTCAAAATGGCTTGTTTATTGTCTACGTAGTATTTTTCCCCAGCACATTAGTGCATGGCTGTTTCACAAGATGCCAATCATTCTTTTGAAGCAACTAATTTAGATTTCTTATTTGAATGCACGTTTGCTCTTCTTTGTTTAGCATCAAAGCTCCCAGGGTAAGTGACTTGCGTCTAGATCACTTATTTTATTTCTTCCTCATATAGTGAAAATGTCTTACTGCTATTCTGTAGATTCATTGCAAAATGTCCAGAAGACATAATATATTAATGCAGGAAGAAACAAGTGTCATGTTATTTGCAGAAATAGATGACTATGATTCAGTTGAAGTCAATGAAGATGATGAATTATAAGTTAGAACACAATTATAATTTAGAACAATCGGTTTTAGGAAGTGATGAAAATTTGGACTCTTTTTGTGATACCTTTGAACCAGACTGGAGAAACAACATAAAAAATAAGGACATGAAATTTGGATCTTTCTCTTCCTCACATAGTTCTCTTCCTTTTCGTAGTTCTCTTTCCATTAATGAAGCTATGGAAAAATTCAAAGGATTTTTAGGAATTGTACAGTATATGCCTTTGAAACCAAATAAGCACGTACTTAAAATTTGGATGTTATGCACATCTCATGTGGGTTGTACTGTAAATTTTGATTTGTACGTTGGGGGGGACAAGATAAAATTGTGAGGTCAGGCAAAGGATTGGGGTACAATGTGGTCACACATTTGATAAAGCCCTTGACAAGTAAAGTACGTGAACTCTTATTTTGATTTATTTTTTTACCAGCATTCAGCTGATGGTTGATTTATTGAAATCCGAATTTTGTGCTTGTGGAACTGTTATACCGAACAGAAAGCACATACCAACTGAATTTAAAATCTTAAAATTGAAATTCCCAAATGACAGTCAGACTTTTCAGAGTCAAAAATTTAAGATTTGTTGTGCACATGTCAACCAACATATCAAATGTGCTGTGTTATGTAAACAGAAAAGGAGCAGAGAAACTTGAAGTCCTTTGCCCATGTTCATTCGCAATATATAACACGCTCATGGCAGGAGTAAATTTGGCAGACCAGAAATGTAAATATTATACAGTTGCCAGAAAATCATCCAAATGGTCGATGTATGCATTTTGGTTCCTTCTGGACATCACCATCATCAATGCTTATATAATTCATCTTACTGCAAATTATCCCCAACAAAGATGATAAAAAACTTTATATGATTGCAGGATGGAACTCGTATAAGAATTGGCAAATATGTACTCACATAGAAAGTGCTCAGCATCATTTGAACCCACTCCCAGTCATTTTCATAAATAAAGAAAAATCGAAAACTGTAAAAGAACTTGTGTTAGATGTCAGCAGCAAAGAAATAAAATGTCAGCAAACAATTCCATCCAAAGCTCATGACAATGTGAAATCTGCAAGATGTGCCTTTGCAAAGGCTGCTTTGATGAATAGATATTCCAATCTCCCTCACTATATGAAAAATGGCCCCTTTTAAGGCCAGCATATGACATGAAAGGAAAGCTCATGTCTGCTATCTAAATCTAAATATATTTAAAGAGAAATCATATGATTTTGGTATGAAAGTAACAGAAAATATAAAAAGAAATTAATTTTTCTTATTGTACACATTATTCAAATATTTCAATTTATGTTTTATATGAAGAAAAATAAACATAATAAACTATTTAACTGTCCTTTTTTTTATCTCTTTTTGTATACTACTATTGAAATTTCAAGCAAGTATGAGGGTTATTTTAGTTTGAATAATTATAAATGTTCCTGCATAACTATAATTTTTATGTTAAAACCATTAAAAATGTGCCTATTATATTTCTTTTGAAGAAGGAGTTTTAAAACAATCAGTTATGCTGAGCTAATAATTATTTCTCAATATACAAGTAAAACTTTCCTGCTAAGATAATATTAATTCATGAACCATTGATTCAAATCTACACAAATTAATAAAATGCATTGTAGTAAATGCTTATTGTTAATTCTGTAAATGGATGCATATTACATGAAGGGATTTCAGCAATAAGAGAAGAGAGATTTGATTTCCTATAGTACTTTTTTTTTATATACATTGCTATTCAGTAGCACTAACTTTCTGAATAAAAATGTTTTTCTGTTTACTAGCATAAAATTATGGAAATATAAGACATTTCTAATTTTCGTGATGGATAGCTGTATGACCTAACTGGTAATATTTAAATTCTATCAAACCACCATTTATCGACTAAACTATTTCCATTAAATATTTCTTTTCTTCTTGCAGTGACAATAGATATTAAAGGTACCATACTTTTCCATTTTATATAAGAATCGAAGAAAACTTTACCAAATAAAAATAAATCTATGTACACCAGTTCCCTTATATATATTCGTTTACTATAAGAATCACTGCCCTTTCATTTATACAGTGGGAAATGTTACTGATCATATAAATATATATAATTTTTTTAATTTAAATTAAAGCTATCACATCTTAAAACCAGTTATTTTAAGAAATATAAAGTATTCAAGTTATTGCAAATACTGAGGAGAAATACGGAAAACTACTGATGCTTGCAGGTGCAATCCTGCCCTAAGGTGAAACTGCATGCAATGGACAAAACCGTAGAAAAAACCCCAAGAGAGAAGCAGTCTTTTCGCTTAAGTAGTTTATTGTTAACACTGTAGCAACCTACTAGGCAGGGGCAAGCAAGATTCCAAGAGAAATTCGTAAACGCAGGCATTTTCAATGTTTGAGGAAAGCATCGAAATCTGGATCTTTTTCTCTGGTCATTGAGATCTGGATCTTTTGCATTGAGATCTGGTCGTCTCTCAATGCAAAAGAGTTAAATTGGAGCTAAAATCAAACTAATGTGTAGTAATTGTGAAAGCCATAAAGAATTTCATTTGTCTCCATGCTTCAAACTTTTTTTTTCCCAATGACAGGTACTTGTCTATAAAAGCAATGGCCACTACTAAGGCCAGAAATGGTAGCCATTTCATTGTGGAGGCACCTGATAGGTGACCACCATTACCTTCCTATGAACGGACAGACAATTTTACATACATGCCTTCTCTGGGATTCAAACCCGGGCCCTTTGGTATCATAGTCAAGCTCTCCTAACCACTGTACCGTCTGGGGGCTCACTCCAAACTTCATAATATTAATTTATTGACTTACATGATCAGGTCATTTGATGTAGACACTCAGGACGTCAGTCTGATCCTCTGTGTAGCAATTATAAAGTAACAGTAACATTATTTATATGGCTAGCATAGTGTGGAACGATAGCAGGCCTATCAGATTAAGAATTGAAGTTGGTGTGTGTGTGGTATTTCTATTAAATTCCCCAAATGTAACTACCCTTAAAGACCATTGCAACAATATAATGGATAAGTGTGTTAATCGCATATCACTATAAAATTTTTATTATCAAATATCAAGTATTTGCATTTGTAACTTTAAATTATGATTTTTCATAATTCTCCTAGGCAGTAAAAAATGTGACATTTTCTTATGAAAAGGGCTTTCCAGATGTGTATTGTCTTTAAATAAATAATAATAGATTCATGCTGTAATTTGTGTTCACTTTTAGTGGGAAATGTAAATGTAATACATTGTTTTATTTCAGGCCAATGATGATAACAACACAAAAAGTAAGCAGTCTAGCTTTTAGTCTACATGATGGACTTTGTCAGAATGAAGAAAAGCTGACACCAGAGCAGAGAAAACGTGCTGTACGGTAGGTTTATCATGTGTATATATATATATATATATACATATATATTTGAATGAATTTTGATAACTGTGAACCTCTGGAGGTTTATATTAAATAATTTCAAAAATTTACTGTATTAATTGTTAACCAATAATTTGATTTTTTTTAAGGAAACATTTTAAGTATGCAATTTCTAATATTAATTTTTCTAATCTGATAACAAATGCCATATTTGTGATTCATAGTATTTCTTATATTATAGAAAGAGCATTTTCTGCTTTTGCTCCTTTGATATTACAAAAAGAAAAATATATTCACTTTCTGCATTTGGATATTTCACGTAAAACATAAATTATGCTTATGTCTGTATTTGCAGTGAGGACTTTAGCAAAGTTAAGACAGGAAACAAAAATCACTTTTTTTAATTAACTTTCCTAGAAAATGCAGTGTTTAAGCTTACAAGTAGTGTATGCCCAAATTTTGAACTCAGTAGCTTATCAGGCAATAATCAATAACAAACTTTCGATTTGACAAACACCATGAGTGAATTAAATAAAAGTTTATAACAAAAGCTGCATAAGGACTTTTATGGACACAATGTATAAATTTTAAATTTTTCCTGTAATAAGATAATAATGCTCTCTGAAGCAAGTAAGGGATTTTTTTAATATGGAATAACAGTATGATGATATGGCTATTACATGGTGTTGTATGTATATGTTAAGGTATTTACTGTTTAAATTAAAAGAAAGTATACTAAGTATATTTTGTGTATATTATTTGATTATGGCAAAATACACAACAACTGTCTGCCTAAGAGATGCCTTTATGGAGGACTCTTTAAAGGAAACTGCTCATACTCATGTTACATGTGAATAAAAACCATGAAGACACCCATGCTACTAATCTGTTCACTAGATTTGACTCTGAGTCACCTACAAGTGTTTAACGACTTGTGGAAAAAATGCATAAATTTCGAAATTGAATTTATAATTTTTGGTACTTGCTGTTTATCCACATTCCCCTTCAAAAAGCTGTGAAAATGTATGAGGTATTTGTGTGGCAACACAGGCATGCACATAACTCCCCCCATCTAAAGACAGTTATCCACTTATGTAATCATTTTTGCCAATGTCACAACAAATTAAGTTTCCTCTTATGAGAATTTGAACATTTTAGAATAACAATGAACAACATACTGCAGTTTTTGTCGTCTTTGGTGAAATCTCAGCCTTAGCTTTCTGCATGCATATAGTGTAATGTGGCTCAATTAATAATACATCCTCTTATTTTCCTCCTTATTGCAGGATTTTGATGCTAAGATTGTACATTATGCCAAGTTTATACATTTTTTTCTGATTTTCCTTTTTTTTTTTAACCTTTGACAATTGCACAATTCTTTTCTTAAATTTGTAGTGTAAGCTTTGCTCCCACTTTGGTGCTTAATTGGAATGCAAGCTGAGCTCATTCATAAGCATTCAATGAGTTAATGCAGACATCATTGTGTTCATAATGAGAACAGTAGAACAAAAAAAAAAGGAGAAATTTCCTTGTCTTGTGACTCTGTATGCATCATAGAAATAGATGTGAAGATACCCAGACAAATGTCTCCCAAGAGTCGGCAACAAGTTTATGAATGCTCTTTAAGTTATGAAAGAGTTTGTGGTTTTACAGTAGGGAAAGCAGCTAATCAGACATTTTTATACATTTTTAGAAAGTGTTTCAAAATTTTAAAGCATAAAATATGATGTTTTAACGCATTTCTTCATTTATTACAGGCATGTTCCAACAGTATTAGAGTTTTTCAGTTATATCTTCCACTTTCAAGCACTAATGTGTGGTCCTCTTGTCTTTTATAATGATTATGCTGATTTTGTGGAAGGCAAAAACTATGTCAAGAATGCTAGTCCTGAAGTAAGTGTAACTTATAAAATTATTAATTTAAATTTTATTAATTCAAATACATTTTGTAAAAAATCTGTGAAAATTGTTTTATAATAAAAGGCTTCTTTTTGTATGTTATCAGCAAACAATCTGGTTTTTATCATTATTTATTTAGCTATATAAATGTGATGTAATTTTGATGATGAGTTATGTGCATTTTATTTTTATAAATATTAATCCTATTTTATGCTAACATGTTAATTTTTTGTAATACGTACTGTGTTTTATCATATAAATGCTTACACATTTTCTTTTTGTAACATGTATTTAGGCCTTCATTATAAACCATATTTCTGCATTTTTTGCTTCCTCTTTATTTAATTACATTTGCTATCTTTTGTTTAATTTTTGTTTGTTTGTGATTGTTTATTTCTAATTTTACTTATTTTTGTTGTGTGTATAAGAGAGTATAAGTATGTGTTGTATTGTGTATAAGAGAGTATTTACTTATTTTTGTTGTGTATATAAGTATGTGTGTATAAGAGAGAGAAAGATTAAGATTTTTTTAAAAACCTAAAAACAAAGCATTTTTGAGTTAGCTTGTATTGACTTTTAAAAATCATAGAACCTGATGTGTAGTTGTAGAGCTAGAGCTTTTGCCCCCAGGACAGTTCCTGTATTTGCAGCTTGAAATGATCCCTTAATTTGCTGCCTCTCTTGATATATGAACAACTAACTAAAAATAATGACATATAGAGCAGTAAATTAAAAATGCATGTTTATTTTTGAATAAAAACTTTTAATTCCAGCATTTTAAAAGTATAGTATTATTTTAAGTGTTTTTTGTTCACTAAACCATCAATGATTTTGTAGATGTGCAATTGATTGCTTCAGTTACTTTATGTAGATAGTAAAGAATAAACTTAAATCATCTTAAATACTCTTAAGTTAATTTAATTTAAAAAACTCTTCTCACAACCATCAACACTTGCTGCAACTGAGAGAAATTGGAACCTTGATCAAGAGATTGTACTTTAGAATAAACTTTAAAAATTCAAAAGGACTGCCCTTCCATGTTCCTGCTTTGATTTTCTTTCCAGTCATGGAAATAAAACACTGAAATACCTTTTTCTTCATGAGAAATTCTTCCTCATTAATGACACCTTGATCACAACTGAATTTATATTCATAATTTGCTTTTGAAAGTTTCGCCAGATAGAAAAGGATATAGCAAAAGTACGTTGCTGTTGAAAACGCATTCAGTTCTTTTAATACTATATCTAGAACAAAAACTTTTTTCCCCCTCTCATTTTAATTTTATATGGCAATTCGTATCACCTGCCTCAGTAGTTCACGACTAACCCCTTTAAACTGATGTTTCACATGAAAAATGCCACCTCTAAAAATGTGCCCCATGGGGTGGACCGTCCCCCAAGTTGTTTGGATTTTCAAATACTTAACCTTTGCCATATTAAAAAATTCAAGAGCTGTATGCAATGTTTTTTGAAAAATTTGATACTGGTGGTTTGTTAGTACTGTATAATATTTTTCTGTTTATTTATTTGTGTTCCATTGAAGTAAATAATGCAGTGTACTTATATATTATCAGGTTGTGGTTGCACGCAAAGTCATTGTGAGCATTTTCTGTGCATTATTCTTAGTAACTGTTGTGCCATATTTTCCCATAACTTATTTACAAGGTGAGTATTTAGTTTTGTCCTTTTATTATGCACATCTATGCTTCAATCACAGTTTCAAAAAATTAATTTGTTATGTTGATTAGTTTATTCAGTTAATTAAATTGGTCTTGTGTTTCTCAAAGACATAAAAATACCTATACTATTAAAATCTCTGAGCGTCTGCCTGCTTATAAAATAATCTCCTTCGCAATGCCAAGGAGTTGAGTTTCAAAAGAGGTTATTCCCAGATTCCAAAAATTTGTGGGAAACCATTTCGAACATTCTCATCTTTGTACGACTTGCAAGTTTTAAAAAATGTGAAATAAATTTAGCATTGCCAAATATTAAACATGCTTTATTATAATATATGGTCATATTTTGACAATGAATAGAGTATACGATTGCATGTGATGTCATTGTATATCAAAACATTTTCATTGATATTAGCATTTTAAATAAATATCTGCTCTTGGCAACATTTTTGTTTCAGGTTAGGATAATTGACATATGTTATTGCCGCATTAATTTTTTTTATATTGAAAAAAAGTCGTTATATTACAGTAAATTTAAATCATGGCATCATACAAGGTTATTACTTGTACATATTAACCTGAAGTTAAGGTGTCAAAGGTTTTTGTTTCCTGGTTTGGCGGCAAAAAATTATGTACAAATTGGTTCTTGTTTGGAAAGAATGAACTGATTTCATTCATACTGAAATATTTTTATGCATTTTCTTTTCAGGTGTGCATAGAACTTGTAAATTTTGTTTTGGCTGCAGTGCGCTCATCTGGGGGGCTTACCCACTAGTATATGTATAAAATGTGCACATCTGAAGCAGTGGGGAGTATTTTTCTCAACAGATTTTTGGGGGCCTTATTTATACTGTTATAAAATATAAGAAAATAATACACAAACAATCCAATCCTGCATCTGTATTTATTTAAATTTGCTATGTAACATAATGAAGTGATAATATATGCTAGATCTAGAATAAATTACCATATATTCTGTCATATTATATACACCTGTAATTTCACACTACAGATATTAATTTTTAGGTATATTTGCCGTACAGTGTGCACCTTTTTCTTCAGGAAGAAACCTGAAGGTGCATGTGCTATGCTGTTATCTTCTGAAGTCATTCATTTGAAGGTTTCTCCCAGGTTTTCAAACAGTACTATACTGAGAAGACAATCGATAAGGGGAACAATATATGTGTGGGAGGGGGTGAATATTTCTGCAAAGTGGATGGGCTGTACTGAATGCAGTTATGCACAAGATTATTATTCTAGGGTTTCAAAAAAAAGGAGGTTATATAATTTGGTGTAAGAATGCACTTCGAACCCGAATGAATTTGCAGAATTAGGAGTCTGGTGTTTTCTCTTTCTGTAGTCATTTGAAGCCGTGACTTTGAAGTGAATATTGAAGCCTTTAGTAAATTGCATTTGCTTTACGATTACAGAGTTGTACGATTGATCTAGTGTTCCTTTTAGTAGCAAATATGGCTCCTGCCAAATAAAACAAACACAATTCTGGTTTCAAATATAAAGTCATTTAGTATCAAAATGGTCTATCCTAGAAGAAAATGTTGCAAACTGGGTCCTGTAAAGTCATCAAAATGGGTTAGTAGTGACAAAAAACAGTATACATTTACTTGCCTTAAAGTGGGCAAAAAAGAATGCAAATGAAAGTGAAAACTTTAAAGCAACTTTCTGATGGAAGTTGATTTATGGAACAAAATAAATTAGGTCTGGGAGAAAAAACAAAAGTTTCACAAAGGCTTCCGAAAGATTTTTAAAACAAGTTGATAAGTTTCCAGAAGTACGTTATTGACCTGTGAAGGAAAAAAAAAATTACTAACCATCATATTTGGAAATATAGATGAAACTCCAGTAACGTTTGATATGATAGGAAGTAAAAAAATTGATGTGAAAAGAACAAAAACAGTTCACATAAAAGCAACAGGTCATGAAAAATCTCACGTCATTGTACTGCTTTCCTGCTTGGTAAGCAGTACAAAAATCTATGGTTACTTTTAAAAGAAAGATGATGCCAAAATGTAATTTCCCAAATGATGTTTTCATTCATATTCACAAAAGAGGTTGAATGGATGAAAATTGTGTGAAATTGTGGATAAAGAAATGTTTGCTAAAAGCATCCTTTGCTTCAAAGAATCCAGAATGTCTTTTAATTTGAAGCATGTTCAAGTCCCTACTAACAGATAATACAAAGAAATTGTTGAAAGAGTATAACACAAGCATAGCAATTATTTCAGGTGAATTAAAGCCTTAAGACATGTGTATCAATAAACTATTCAAAGAAAGTTTGAAGATACAGTAGAATAAGGGGTGGATGTTAGAAAATGAAAAAACATTTACAGAAGGAGGCGAAATGTGTGTTGCTAGTCTTAACAATAATGTATGAGTGGACAATGAAAGTATGGAGCATTAAATCCAACATAAATCAAAAATCATTTGAAAAATGTAGTATATTTAACAATCTAGATAGAACAGAAGATGATAATTATTTATAGATCTAAGTAGTAGTGATATGAAAATGAAACAGAATTCTATGAATCCTGAAACTATAACAGAAGACAAATATAATGAACTTTTCATGTTCCGATAATGAAAATTTTTAAGTTAAAAAAAAAATGTTATTGCTTTTGAAATGCATTTAGGTACATGTAAAAATCTATTTTTTGTATTCTTATCTTTTCCTTATTTTTAAAACTCATTTTTATATCCAATGTATAATGTACACCTGTGAATTTTGATGTTATTTTTTACTTCCTCGTACAAAGTAAAGGAAATATTGTAATCATGAAAAATTTCAGGTATCATATCAATGAATGTATCTATTTTGACCCACCCTCAAACCCATTTGAATGATTTTTTTTTTTTTTTTCCATCTGTACGTACAAACATATGAACAGAATAAAGGATTTGTTTTCCAAAGCGGATTGTAGAATGAATTCAATATGTATCCAGTAGGGGTTTTTTCATGACGTCTGTATGTATACATGACTCAAAAATGATTAGCAGTAGATTGTTGAAATTATGTATAGGGAACTGCTATAATATATAGTTGTGCATCTCTCTTTTTAGTTGCAATCGGGCACACCAAATACATACATATATATATATATATATATTTATATGTATAACAGAGTCAGGTAACAGAATGGATATATATATATACACACCCACTCTGTTACCCGGTTCGATGAACTCAGTTTTTTTATTCTTTTATGTTGTAAATTGTGCATTTTTTGCTTTAAAATGATTTGAATTATGTTGTCCTTATGTTCCAATTAAGTTTTTGTACCTTTAGTTAATCTGCAAACAATAGTTGGAGAATTACCAGCAATTTAGAAGCTTGTTGTACTAGGCCTAACTAGGCTGCCATTTATTTACATTTGAAACTCTTAGTCAAATACTGAATTAAGTCAGTTGGTGCCCGAACTTCAGTGTCCTTTTCACAGTGGTTCCGGAAGTAAACTTTCAATTCGTGCACTGAAAATGTGGTCTCCCTGCCCATTAGCCAAATTGCTTCTTTTGGTGTAGAAACTTTTATTTTAATTGTTGTTTTTGAATTGTATTTAGTGTGTTAAGTTTTTCTGTATTTTACAATTTTTAATGAAGATGTTTTTTGCCTTGCCACAAAAAGAGAACTGAATTAATTGTATGAAAAATATGTCTCTAATAAAATTCGAGAAAATGAGTTTAAATGAAGTGCAGCAAAAAATATGTACAATTTAATAGAGCTTACAAGGAAGTCAAACGGTGTCCACATCAAATATTTTCCATTCAACCGCATAAATTCAAAATTACTTTTAGCAAATTATACATGAAAATATAGAAATAAAAAAAAAAAGTGTCAAAATTCACAGTTCATTTTTATTGTGAAAAGAAATTGCTAAGTAACTTGAAGAATAAACTAATTTCTGTTCTTCTCTCAAAATATGCGCCCTCCCTTTTTTTGCATATTTAATATTTATACAAGAACATTTACTGTAAAGGTTTCAAATTTAATTTTATAAAAAAATTAAATTTTCTTTTTTATCTGAAAAGTATTGCAAGTTATAGGTATTGATGAATCAAACAGTTGCTGATTACCTGAATTCTATTGTATTAATTTCTTTTGCATTCAAGAGCATTTTTGAAATCATATTATGTTCTTAATTTGAAAAGTTACATACTGCAGCTTATTCAAATTTTCAGCAATGTTATTTTTTCATTGCAACAAGGAGAGTTTTTAGAAAGGGAAAAATAAATCTTTTATGTAATTTTTTTATATGTTGCAGCTACATATTAATTTACTTTCATAATATGCATTTACTTCATCTTTCATAAAAGCAGAATGTATAGTAAGAACTGCTGATTCAAGCATAATTTTTATGACTTTGATGTAAAAGTTTTACCTAAGTTATAATATATGCACATTTAACATCAAGAAGAAAGTTTCATAAATTTAAAATCATAAAAAATATGTAAAATTAACTTTTTCATGTATAAATATTCTTTTTTTTTTTTTTAATAATTTTTAGATCCCAAGTTCCTAAATAACACACCATGGTATTCTAAATTGACGTACTTGTTGTTTGCCACATCAGTTGTTAGATCGAAATATTATCATGCCTGGCTTCTAGGTAGGTTGATTAAAAATTTTCAGTAATTTTTGTGAATTAGGATTATGGATGTCTTTTCCTCATTTTATATTTTTAGATCATATTTGGTTAAATGATTAATTTATTTCTCTTTTATTTCTTTATTTCAATTAATGTTATAATATAATTAAAATTCGTATGACCAAGATTCAAGTTAAACACCATGTTCTATTCATGTTTTATTACTTAAATGTTTAATTTTTACCAATTTAGGAGTATTGATCACAAAAATTGCAGTAAAGAAGTTTGATTGATTCTAATTTCTGTGTAACAGAAGAGGGGGGTGGGTGTTTACCTATCTCAATCCAAGAGATATTGTTGACTGTTTGACTGGGTCAAATTAGTGTGGGAACATATCTGGAAATATGAAAAGTAATCACTCGATAAGATCAAGAAAAGTAATTTTAATCAGCCATAAATAGGGCCCTTGTAACCATGTAGTCCATAAAGGAGGCACAGCTACCCAAAATATGCAAATCCAACACTTAAAGATGAAAAATTAGAGCAAAAATGTCACCTTTTGTGGTGCAATGCATTATAGCTTAATTACATTACTGATTTTAAGTGGAGGCTTTTTCAAGTTCTGTCTGTAAGCAGTTTTGCTGCATAATGGTAATGTTTTTCCTTCGATACATGTTGAATATGCAGTTGACCTTTTTAGCTTAAGGAAATGTATGAGAACATGAAACAAGTTTTTCAGTTCCTGGAATGTTAGATCAGAAAATTGCTAGATTTTTGACAAGGCTATTGTCAACAAAAATACTGTTGTTTTCTCTATGAGAGGGGTAGTTGTGCAAGGGATTTGCAGTAGAAAAGGAAAGAATAACTTCAATTTACATTTTTCACACCTGGTGTGGAATGTATTACTTCACATCCTCATGCAGATCCAAAGAAGCCATCAAAATGGTATAATGATTCATGATGCAGACAGCCACATCGAAGGGCCTGGGTTTGAATCCCAGAGAAGGCATAAGTGTTTTTAAGTATATAATGTCTCTGCAGCAGAGGGGCTCTCAAAATACATGGCAAGCCAAAAATCTTCTCAAAAGGTTGGTGGTAGAGAAAGAGGAGGTAGGAGAACCTCGGACCACCTCATGGGATGATCTGTCTCAAAATTGGAGGAGTATGGGACAGGTAATGTATCGGGATTATACCTGTATGATCACTGATGAAATTCTGGTGTCCTGCCCACTTTTACCTGTACATATAGATCCAATTCCTCCTCCCACTTTTTATCAAATTGGGGTTGAAAATGAGCTTTGCAATGGCACTTCAGAAGGATAGAGTGGCATATGCACACATATGCAACAAATTTCCATGCAGGAGTTCAGCATCAAAAAAAGAAACCATTTTATTGAGTATATTATTTTCTGGGAACAGGAGAAAAGTGGAGAGTTATGAATAAAATAGTAGGTAACCTTGTAACATTGTATGAAAAGATAGAATGCTTAATGTCACAAAAAATACACATAATCCATTTTCATTCTCTTTTTTTTTTTTTTTTTTTTTTTTTTTCCCCTGACAGTTTTGAAAATATCAGGCAAAGAGCATGGATAATTCTTTCATCAGTAAATTGCAACAAAGGAAGATGTCAAAAGAAGTGAAGTACAGCAATAGCAGTCAATTTCTGTTGGAGAGCATTAGGAATGATGGGGGTACACATTAGCTGCAAATAAACTTAAAACTGCAGGCATTTTCAGGACCTTAAACATTCATTAGGGATTTACTAGTTTCTTCTGAATTTTAGTGTGCAAGAGAACTGATTTAATAAGAAAAATGGGTATTTTTGGCTATCTGCTTCCCCTTTCCTCAAGAGTTGGCAACTCATTGGTGACTGATTTTCTGCCTGACTAATACATGAAAAGCAATAGCCATTTTCAAAATGGTGATGAACTAAGAATTCCATGAAAGAGCAATCAATGAATAAAATTAAAGAAGAAAGGGAAAAAATCTGTCACATTATGTTTTATGTGTTACCTTTATTTATTAAATGCCATGTTTTTCCCACTTAAACCATAAAATTCACTTCAACAGCAATATCATAAAATAATTTTAAAATGAGCATATCTTTAAAATTTCCGATACACAGTGTCATGCACTGGAGATATAAATTTTATTTTTTGGGGGGGGGTACAGTGTTTCCTTTCTCGCTTTGAAATCGTTGAGCTTGTTAATAAAAAATTCTTTAATACACACACACCATATACACAGCTAATCTGTTTTGCTTTTTAAAAAAATAATAATAATAATCAGAGAATTTCATAAATTTTGCATTTGCAAATGCTGTTGTTGTCCTCAGATATTCAGTAATTAGTTTTCACTTGGAAAAAATCAGAGAATTGCGCAAATACAACATCCGCAGCCTAACACTTAGCTTGCTCCTCTTTTTTTTTTTTTTTTTTTTTTATTGCTTTGCATGTACATAAAATTTAACCATCTAAAAAGTGCGACTTCATTGAATGCAAGCATTTGCATTCTCCAGTCTTCAACAAAATTCTGTATTTTAAAAAAAATGCAATGCTTTCTTTTTTTTCCACTTGCAAACTTAACAGTTTTATCACTATTTGTCATAAGTAAATGAAAAGTATATTCATTGCAAAACACATAAAAAAAAATTATAAATTTGGAGGTTTGTCTGGGCATATTTTGGTTGCCACATGAATACGTTTTGGCAATGTCATGGGATGCCACATCACTATTTTGGCTGTAAAGTGCATTGTCATGTGAATAATTTTTGGGACGTGGATAATTAGAAAGAATTGATTAATTTTAATTTTTTGTAACTTCTAAGCAACAGCCAGTCTTAGAAATAAAGTGGATATTTGTATTCAGGTGGTGAAATTTAATAAAAAAAAAAGGCTTATTTTTCGCAGTTATGCTATCAGTTTAAATTATCATTTCATCTCTGAGTAGCCGTGATACGACATGTCATCCTGTCTACCTTCTAAATAACAAATCGCATGTAAAGTAAAGGGTTAAAATAAAACTGCTTACTAACATATTAACCTGATGATTATTCAAATTCAAAATTTAACAGAAACAAAATTCTGTTAGCTTTTGAGTAACCAAAGCACATCTTTACATTGTACAGTAGAATTCCAGAAATCCACAAAGCTTGGGACCAGAGGTTGTGTGGATTTTAGCATTTTGTAGATTTCAGGACAGAAAAGATAAAGCATAATATTTGGACTAAAAGTGCAGAATGAATAAGGTGTAGTAGATACATTTAATCAAATTATTATATACATTATTGCAATAATTTATTATATGCATAAAATTATTATTACATATATAAATTTATTATATTATTAATTGTATTATATGTACACAGCATCGAGGTTTGCCGATTTCACCTCGTGCAAAGATTTCCGGTTTTGAATTCCGGTGTTAGAATCACTGTTGCTGTAAAATTTCAACAGCTTTTCTTTATTTTTCCATATATCATACACAATCGTGTCGCAATTCCATACCATTCTGCTATAAATCGAGGAATAGCACCTGCTTCCATCTTTTGCAGAATTCGCACTTTTTGTGTTACCATCAATGCAACATGTTTACGTTTTTCAACATTGGAAGCAGTAAAATCACGAGTAAGTATGTTTTTCTTCGATATTTCGTACTCAATGTTGCAGTTTCCGGAACCTATAAACTGAATGTTTATATTCTGAGAGGCAACACGGATTTCAGGAGTTGGCAGATTTCACGTTGCCGGATTTTCGGTGTTTGACTGTAATAAATACTGAGTACAGAAGTAACACTTATAATTAAATCTTGGCCTATCTCTAAGTATTTGCAAAGCAATCACAGTTTAGCAGAAATTTACACTGCCAAGTCATACAACAGCAGGGAAACTGAAGTAGAATGAGGGTCAGCTTTTGCTACCCAGCATCCTGAACATTTTAGAATCTAGAAGCTTATTGTACTTTAACTTGCAGACTGATAGAAGGTGGTGAATATAAATGTTATAGCAAAAGCAAAATGATAGATAACTGAGTCAGTTAAAATAAAATCTTATAGTTTTAATTCTTTATTTCACTTATATCAAATTCTCAAAATATAAGCAAAATATCACTTATTGGTGTTAGAATGTACTACGTAACCAAAAAAGTTCTTACTCTTTCTGATATAGCATTGGAAGAGTGAACCCCAACATAAAAATAGTTGCCAAACCCAGCAATGAAGTGATTAGGGTGGGAGTCCAGGCATTGACCAAGAGTATAGAAGCGCATTGTGGTACTTCAAACATAACTCATACAGTGACTGATTGAAATGAATGCGTCAAAGGCGCTCGATCGGAGTTGTTTGCTGTATGATTTTAAAGTGGGCCTGTCAGCAGCAGAATCAAGTCACCGAATTTGCCTGGCCTTTGGGGATGTTGCTGTTAATGAACAAACTGCTAGTTCCAAAAGTTCAGGTCAGGGGATATGTCTCTTAGCGATGCACCACGGAGTGGTCGGCCACAAGCGCTGGACGATGAGGCCCTGAGAGCCATAGAGAGTGATACTAGCCTAACATGTGGAGAGCTTGCTCCACACTTCCAGGTATATGATGAAATGATCAGACTCCATTTGCACCACATAGGAAAGGCATACAAGCTGAGCAAGTGGGTACTCCACTCACTGTCTGATGCAAACAAGCAACAGTGTGTCGCTGCCTATTTGTCTTTGCTTACACAGCACCACAATGCATCCTATTTGATCTAGTACACACCAGCAATGAAAAGTGGGTCCAGCATGACACACTCAGGCATTCGAGACATTGATTGTCACCACGGGACCCTGTACCTCACACTGCAAGACCATCTCTCCACCCACGCAAGATCATGCTCTGTATCTGGTGGACTAGTCGGCAAGTGGTGTGTGCATTATGAACTTCTGCCGGTGGGCCAAACCATCACCTTAGTCCTGTACTCATAGCAGTTGGAATGTGTGCATCAGGCATTGATGCATAAAGAGCCAGCATTGGTCAATCCTAAGGGTGTACTCCTCCTGCATGACAATGCAAGGCAGCATGTGGCTCGGGAGGCCAGGGGCACCGTTCACCGACTGGGCACACTATCCCCTCCACCATACTCCCCAGACCTCGTGCCAACAGACTACCACCTTTTGCATTCCCTGGACAAAAATCTTTATGGAAATTCCTTCAACAATTAGCCAGACCTCAAAAAGGCCCTTATGGACTTCTTTGCGTCCAAGACTCCAGAGTTTTATCGCGATGGCATCGCACAGCTAGCCACTCAGTGGCAAAAGGCACTGGATGCTGATGGTGATTACTTTTGAGTATTAGTGGTGATCATTATTTGCTTTATGACTTTTTCTTTCTGATGGTCCAAAATGGCAAGAACTTTTTTGGTTACCTCGTAACATGAATTTTGTTGTAACTTCTAGAAAAAGTTAAATCTTAGAAAATGAAGTACATATTCATGTTTAGGAAATGAAATTTAGTAAGAAAAGTTTATTTCATCCTTAGTTGTGAAAATGTATTGTTAATTATTTGTTATATTGAAAATCACAAAACGCAAAAGGAAATTCTGGCTATTTATTTCTCATCACTTTTATCTGTGTGCTCATGTTTTCATTGCTACCAAATGTTGCTATGGATCCTGTAAATGTCGATATAATTGTTATTAAAATATCTATTGACTTTCTGTATGATTCTTTTTAAATGAATAACTGAACCTTTCTTTTACTTGAAGGGGAAGCTGTATGTAATGCCTCTGGTATGGGCTTCAATGGTTACACAAGTGATGGTCGCTCAAAGTGGGATCTCATGTCTAATGTGGATATTATTCGGTTTGAGGTCAATATATTTTACTTAAAAACCTAATATACATTTAAAATTTGCCTATCATTAACTTGTGTAAAATTAAAGTGTAGGTATGAAATAAGTAGAAGCTTGTTTATTAAAAGAAGTAGAGCTGTTTCCAGAGTTTCTTATAGTAGTATAAAATAAGCTCTAAATTTTTGCACAAGCTTTATTTTTCTATGTAATGTTTGTGTATTATGTGGTATGAATGCAGACTAAATGAACAGTTGCGTTGTTTAACTGGGTGTGTAGAAATAAACAAAAAGTAAAACAGGGATTTTTTTTTTTTTTTTTTTTTTTTTTTTTTTTTATGTTTGTAGACCAGATGTTGTTCTTATTACATGAAGAAATTCTACCAAAATAGAAAGTTTTTTTAATATTCAATACATACCAGTTATAACACATATAAACAGAAGCTTTTGAGCTGATTAGCTATACAGTCAAAAGTCGTTAATCCGGACTCGTCGGGACTTCGGCGATTCCGGATTATCGATTTTTCCGGATTATAGATCATCAGTTTAAATCTGGTAAGATGGCATGCAGAAATTACAAAATTAAAAATATGAAACCATAATTTATGAAATAAAGAACAATTATGATCTAAAGCGTATCAAAATTTACAAAAAGAAAAAGCTTAATATTTATTTGTTTACTTTATTAAACATTTCTTTCAATGTAAGTTGTTTACGTTGCTTCGTTTTATGTGATAATACTTTTTCTTTAATTCTATTAAACAGACATAATTTCTTGTTTAGTTACAAAGTTCCGCTGTTCAAGTCCTATAATTGCTGTGTTGAGAATACCGACTAATTTGTCAATCGAAATGTTTTCGTTTTCAATAACTCTGGGTCACTTTCTTCACTATCGGAAGCAAATTATAATGACCAGGAACTTGATTTAAATCATATCAAAGACGGAGTACATCGAGATGAAATACTACACTTAGTAAGGAATTATAAGCCAAATAAAATAAAAACATCTGCCATGAAGATAAGGATACTGCTGACAGATCAACTTCCAATCCGCGGCGTGAAATTGATAAACAGATTTTGGATTTCGAAACATACTTTCGCTTCTAGATACAAATTACATATTAGTAAATATACTATATTGGAAATTCTATTTGACATAATCGAAAGTTCAAGCTTACTTTTATGAAATTGCTCTAACAGTCTGCAAAAAATAATAAACCAGATCCAATTCGAAGATTAAGTAACAACGCAATCTGCAACATTAACTAAATTAGATAATTTTAGCTTAGCTTAAATTACGCATTAAACGCGCATGCGCACAAACATATTCGCAGCTGTAAAGGTCTTACGTGCACTCGTAAATGCCTGTTCGCATGCGTGAACGCGACGCATGCGGAAAGTTTGTAGCTTTGAGGTCCGGATTATGGGTGTCCGAATTAACGACTTTTGACTGTACAAAATATGTGCTAGTATATGATAATTACCAATTCATTCCACGTAATATCTGTAAATAAAATGTGTTGCCAATCTTTAGTTTCGCCTCTTTTTAGCTTATATATCATATGTCTGAATCTGAATGAATAAACATAATTTTGATCTAAAAGGTATGTTTATATCAGCTTATGGTATTAATCTCTTAAGGAAGAAGAGCTTATCTGCAAAGAAATCTTAAAATTCTTTGCAATATTTTGTCTAATATGTGTTTGTGTGTGTTTTATCTTTTTGTATGATTTTTCTTCTAACAGTTCCTAATTATAACTAATTCACATATGTAATATTAAAAGTATTTTTAATACATTCTTACTGTGAATTTTTTCTTTTATAAAATTCATTTTCTTAATATTTTCCACATTGTAAGAAAAACGTTCTAGCAATAATGTTTTTCATTGTCTAAATTATCATAATCTACTTAAGCTGTGGCACCGATAAGAAGTGGTATTTAAATAATAGTCTTGACATTCATCATATATCTTTTGTTTTTCATATAATTTATTAATTGCTAATTTAATTTATAAATTTTAATTTTTATATGTACATTAATTTAAAATTTCCAACTGCATAAAAAGGAGATTATAATCTATTTAGCATGGCAGATAAAAATCTTATCAGTAATTTTTAAAAGAAGTCATAAACAATTTTAAAATCCTATTGTCCTAAAAAACTTTAAATATAAACATTCTGTCACGTACAGTATTTTATGAACCAGCTCAAGGAGTTAAATAGTAATAACCAGTCTTGATTTGAGTCATCTTTCATGTATAATGCAAAATATCCATACTTTTATGCCAGTACCTAAACGATTATTAAACAAAGACTGATCTTTTATTACATGTGTCATATTTTCTACTTAGCATTAATATTTATAAATCTGCCAGTTGGTCATTATGTACTTGAAGGAGAGACTTAACTTCCAGACAAGTTAAAATTGTTACATAATAATTATATTTTATACAACTTGGAGAATAAAAAGCTGTCTGTTTTGCATAATGTAATAAAAAAGTAATTAAAAAAAACCTAAAAATTATTTAAGTGAAAACTTTTAAAAATGCAGATTTGTCATTTTGATATAGTGCAATATTATTTCATAATGTATCTTCATTATTATTTTTATGTGTATTTTTTACCAAAAAAAAAAAGACATTTTTTTGGCAGAACCTACCAGAAATTATTCACTTTGAGGCATATTCTCTCTGAAGATTCTGTTTTAGAGACAACTGACGTTTACTGAAAAGTAAAATGAGTAGTCATTCTTGCTTAAAGAAAGTTCTTTTACATGAAAATAATTAAGCATACATTTATAGCATGTGAATTTTATGAACATTACTTTTATGGTAAAGAGATAGTTTGTTTTTTAAGTATACTTTTTTTTACACTGAATTCACTGCATTGTCAAAGTTCTTTTACATGAAAATAATTAAGCATACATTTATAGCATGTGAATTTTATGAACATTACTTTTATGGTAAAGAGATAGTTTGTTTTTTAAGTATACTTTTTTGTACACTGAATTCACTGCATTGTCTTTCCTTAGTTCTCACTTAATTTTCGAGAAACCTTGGAAACATGGAATAAATCCACTCAAATGTGGCTACGCACTATAGCTTATGATAGAGCTCCCTCTCACAAAACATTATGGACATATGTGTTATCTGCCCTCTGGCATGGCTTTTATCCTGGTTATTATTTTACATTCCTTGGAGGAGCAATTTTTACTTTAGCAGCCAGATCGGTAAGTATTACCAGTTTTGTAAGAAACCTGTATGTTTTTGCATCTATGTAAAGGGTTAAAACATATACATGTATGATATATCTGTACTGAATATCAAATGGAGTAAATGTGTAAACAATGTGCAGATGGGTTTTATTTTCCACTATCAACATTAATTCTTTATTCTTAATAAATCTGTCTTTTCTGAACTGTAATATTAATTGATAAATTACCAGCTTTCGTGAACTGTGAAATTATGATTGTGAATGCAACCATGTAAAAAATTTGAAAAGGAAATATATTTCTGTTCAAAGAGAAAACAATGAAGGAGAACAAACATCGAGCTTTTTTAAATTACACGTCCTGTTGGCTAGTTATAAAGTTTCTAATTTCCAAAACTAAACCTCATTTACAAAATCATAAACTTTTTAATAGTATACAGTCAAAAGTCGTTAATTCGGACACCCATAATCCGGAATGATCTATAATCCGGACCTCAAAGCTAAAAACTTTCTGCGCATGCGCCGCGTTGACACATGCGCATAGGCGTTTGCGCGTGTGCATAAGACCTTTTACCACTGCGCATATGCGTGTGCACAAGCGCAGAATACATTTTTGCGTGCGCGTTTTATGTATAACGGACGGTATAATCTAAAATTATCTAATTATCTATTTCAGTAATTCACTATTTCAGTAATTCTATTTCAGTTAATGTTGATGATTGCGTTGTTCCTTAATCTTCGAATTGGATCAGGCTTATTATTTTTTGCAGACTGTAAGAGGAATTTTATAAAAGTAAACTTGAACTTTCGATTATGTCAAATAGAATTTCCGATCTGGAGCTCTCCAAAGGATCGTACAAAACGAAAGTATGTTTCGATGTCCATCAAACAAAAAAGTGGAATTGCTGCAAAAAATGGATAAGACATGAAGAATGTGACAGAGAGGTTAGTGAAAATGAAAAAATTTTGATTGACAAGTTAGTCGGTATTCTCGGCACAACAATTAACAGGACTTGAACAGCGGAACTTTGTAACTGAACAAGAAATTGTGTCTGTTTATAGAATTAAAGAGAAAGTATTATCACATGAAACGAAGCAACTTAAAACAACTTACATTGAAAGAAATGTTTAATAAAGTAAACAAATAAATATTAAGCTTTTTTTTTTTTTTTTTTTTTTTTTTTTTTTTTTTTATAATTGTTCTCTATTTCATAAATTAAGATTTCATATTTTTAATTTTAGAATTTTTGCATGCCATCTTACAAGATTTAAACTGATGATCTATAATCCGGAATCGCCGAAGTCCCGACGAGTCCGGATGAATGACTTTTGACTGTATATAGTTACTATTAGCTATTTGTGAAGCTTTTGTGGATAAATAGACCAAATGAAGAGGAAAACTTGGAATTTGTATTGAAGCTCTCAAGTGTTGGAACCTTTTACAAAAGAAGAAAAAAAGCTAAAACTAACTTGAGGAAGAACAAGAAATAATTCTTTATTTCTTTTTCTGTCAGAAACAAACACCATTGGTTTGGTCTAAAAATGCAAGATCAGTGCAACTAAAAGTCCACTCCTTCAGTTTTAAGAACATGCAGTGCATTTGCTAATGGCAAAGATATTGAGTATTGTCAACTCAACTACAGTCTGCAATTAGGCTTATTCTCAAATCAATGGCCATGCATTACCAGTGCAGGATTTACTTATAAGCTACATAAACTATAGCTTAGGGCCCTGCTCCCTTGGGTGCCTCCCAAAAAACCCTCTAGGTATCCGAAAATCATACCTGCCACTGTCATATATGTGGACTTACTAAGGCCCCCATATCTCAAATAACTTAGTGCCTTATCAAGTCCGACCCTGTACATTATATCAGTATTTAGGCTTTAACTCAAAGGTGGGAACATATAGTAGGATATATTAGAAAAATTAATCCTAGCATTTCAGAAATGCATCTTGCCAACTGTGTAAGAAGCTAGTTACTTGTACTTGTCTAGTTATAATATTCTAAATTTTAAGGGTTACATTAAATAGTAAATAATCTCTCTCTTCTAATTAAAACCAAAAAGACTCAAGTGCAGTTTGTACATATATTTTCATAGAATTTATGTGTGATTTTTTTATCATTATACAATAATTTGATATATGTATTTATTTATGTATCTAATGTAATAAAAGGAATATATTTAATATATAAATAATGTAGTTATACAAATTGCTAGTTTTCATTAAATCTTGAAAGCTAGTTTTGCATTAAATTGTTTCCTGGGAAAAACAAAAAATGATTGGATTCCAGTTTTGTGTGTAATATTACGATTTTTATTTTATTGTTATTTAATTTTTGATACTATTAGCACAAAAATCAGATTTGAAATTCTTATAGATTAGTTTCTTTAGGTGGTTACTTATAATGATTTCTGTGATTTTTGTCAATTATGATGAAATTAATAAAAGTTTATTTTTAATTTATATTGGTGGATTTAAAAGTTTCTGGTGTGATATACTTCTAAAAGAAACAAAGAAAGTTTAATATTTTTTTTTTTTTTTTTTCCCTAATAGAATCATCTTTTCTTTTGGTGCACTTTTCTTTTCTCTTTGTTTAATGAGCAAATCCGTGCTCTTGAAAAGTAATTTGAAGGTTTGTCCTCTAAATGTTTTATAACTGTTCTTTCATGTCATCATCATCATCATCATCAAATCTTTTTCCAGAAAGAATAAAATTCCAGTCCAGAGAAATGTCACCTCCTTTACTTTTAATCTTTTACAACTCAATATTACCTCATGAACTCGAGCAGTATTTTCATATGATTATCCCTCCAGTAATTGAGCTTTATGAGAACCATGATTTCTGTATTCCTAGCTTATCCAAAATTGTTTTACCCATTCTTTCATTGTAGAATAAGAAGGAAATAGAATAAGCATCCAATACTTGATATAAGTGTTGAACAAACTAGCACATTATTTCATTCAATAAACTGTCAAACAGATGATTTCACCTATGGAACTTTCAGATTTATTCATGTAGTATTTCCACTATATGTTTGTACAAAAAACTCGTACAAGAAACTTAAGTGCCAAATAATTTTTTATATAAAAGGCCAGAAACTTTTGGATCTGCCTAGGTATATATATTACCAAATCTTGTACCAAATTACAATCAAAATCAGTTTCCATTCATTTATATTCAAATTTATTAATATTAAAATATGCAATAAAAGTTTTTATTAATAATTTTTACTATCATTATTTTATTCATATAGAATATACTTTAATATAGAATTAAATTGCGAGTTTTATTCATATAGAATTAAATTTGCAATAGCAGAAGATTTAGTTAAATTTTGCATTTGCATCTTTTAGTGAAGAATTTCTATTCAGGTGAAAGATCTTAATATAAAAACTTGATTTAGCTACAATTTGGAATTATTAATTTAATGGTTCCTTCTGTTAAAATTATGTGTAGATTCTAAAAAACAACAAACTAAAAATAAATGCTAGTAGAAACTTTTTTTTAAAAAAAAAGTCTGCTATTTACCGAAGTTTAACTAGAAGGAATTACTTGTCTTAGATACGTCGCAGTATTCGACCTCTTTTCCAAGGTAGTAAATTCATGTCCAGATTCTATGATGTTCTAACTTGCATCACAACCAGGATTGCTCTAGCATATATTGTTTTCCCATTTATTCTTCTGGAATGTAATGCATCACTTGCTGTTTATGCGTAAGTATAATTTGTTTATTTACTCATGTTTATTTTAAAGTTGCATAAAGTACCTAGGAAAATAACAGAATTATTTTAATTTAGTTTAAAATATCATGCATAAATATTGGGTTTATAAGTTTTTCGTGCAAATAAATATATAGTTTAACTTTTAAAAGAAGTAATTTTTGTTACTTTGACAAGTATATGTCGCATAAATTTTTCAGCATTGTTTAATAGAATATCCGAATAAAGAATATTTATGTAGTTATGAGTTTTATCCTCTAAATAGAGGAGTCCTTTATTTGTAGGGATTGAGAAATTTAAATTAAAAAAAATGGTAATCAGAAATAAGAAAGTAAGCAAAGTTTTCCAAATTTTTCAAAAAGTACTGAATTAGACCCTGAAAATATAAGTGTCATGCAAGAGCACAGATGTTTAATATATAATTATATTCATACAGGTAGATAATGTTGTGACAGTGGTGGGTTATCAAGAATAGTCATATTTCTTCTGCTGTTATTTCATTCAGATACATTGGTGGTAATCATAGTGTTTATATATTTCATAAGCAGTCTGGCAGAATGAGTAACCGTGAATGTTTAAATAATAGAATAAGGCATAGAACCTGCAGGTTGGAGAAAATGCATTCCTAATTTTAGGCTGGAAGAAAGCTTTAATGCTTAGTGTCATTTGCAGTTTGTAGAAACATGAAATGAGAAACATGAAAATGTCCTGGACAAGTGCATCCAAGAGCAGCGATGGACAATGAAGGTTGGTATTTGGCTGGGCACTTTTATCCAGAGGAATATTATAGCCATATGAATCTCTCACGAGCTCTGTGCTGCTTCTGTATGTTAGCTGCTAAAGTTACTGCTTACCAGAGACTTATAAGAGAGTACATTTTGCCAGAAAGCTCACTGCTTGTGCCCTTCCTAATTCACTCAGTATCTTACATGGTGCATTCAAATTCTGTTCAGAAGGAAGTTAACCTAGATACTGATTTCTAGCATTCTTCTTGTTGAGAACATTCCTAGGACCTGGGATCCAGTATCATTCCTCCAGTACCAGGGGAAAGGAGTATCATGGTGTGGGCAGTTATCATGCTATTAAAAATTTTTGTGGTGCTGGAGGGTACTTTCATATGGAATAACTATCTCATCTATAATATGGCAACTTGCTATCCAACCATTCATGTGTTAAAGATGAGAATACTGCCCTTTAGCCTCATTTTGGGCACCATCTTACACTGTTAGTTTTGAAAATTCCTACTTTCAATGAGCATTGCTCACAATCAGCTGGTATCAGTTTTGGCCAGAAAATGTCAACAATTTTAAAGGACTTCCATCAACTGAAAATGAAGCCAAGGAAATCATACAAATTGCAAAAGCAATAGGCTGTGAAGGTTTTTCAGATATGGAAGAAGGAGAAATTAAAGAATTAGTCAAGAATAATGAACATGAAATGAAAAATTAAGAATTGGAAATTGTATAACACCAGCAGGCTGAAAAAGCAGAGGTAGTGAAGAAGATAAAGACTTTAAAAAAGTACAAGAAGTTAAACTAGTCATTAAAAAAGGCAGAGGAACTTTCTGCTTTTGTGATGGAGATTGACCCAAATAAAGAAAGAATACTTTGTCAGAGGTATAGAAAATCTTTGCACTCTTTACCACAAAATGTTAAATGAGTTTCATCAGACATTGCTCTGAGCAAAAATCGCCAGCTATTCAAAAAATAGTTATTGTAACATGTACCTGCTTATATTATGCAATAATAGAAATCATTTCAGTTATCATTTTAATCATTTTCCTCTTTTAATTACAACAATATATAGGTTTATATAAATTACATGTGCTTTCTTATTCAGAACTATACCTAACCCATTTTTTCCATAGAAAGTTAGTTCTGCAGAATGTGATTTTGCTGTACGCACAATGTGTTAATGAGGTAATCCTCACATTCAGCAAGAGCTTGCTTGGCTTTATATATATAGCATTGTACTGATGTATGTATTTTGACACAAAATAATTTTTCTTTGAGATGACATGATTATTTTTCTGCATAGTTTTTGATTCTGCAACTAAAAATATGCCAAAGTATTCATAAAAATCTTAACGAACAACTTTTTTTTTATTAGCACTCAAAATTTTAGCTTGATAATATTAGATTTTTTTTTTTTTTTTAAATTGGTAATACTACTTTTTTAGTTAAATTTCCTTGCTTCTTTTTATGATCTGAAATTTAGGTTTAATCCCATTAAAACTCATACTCTTTTTTTTCATAAAGTTTGAGAATATTCTTAAATTTATTTTAAGGCCATTAAGGATGGGGTTTCTGGCAAAATGTGTTCTCTCATAAAGTCTTTTGGAAATGTAACCCTCATAGCTAAGGTTTTATTTTTAAATAATTTTTAAAGTTAAAAAGTAAGTTTTGCAGTTTTATTTTTAAATATTTTTTATAAATTTCTTTGAAAAATTTTGAATTATGAACGTATAAAAGTTTGCAAATATCTTAAAATAAATATTTTTCAGGAATATTTCTAAAAAATTGAAAATTTCTGTTAAAAATTTTTGGAGTGCATGTAAACTTAAATATGAATACTGTTTTGGTGATGATTTCAAAATTAGTGTAGGATTAAAAACAATAATGATGGGAACTAAGCATAATTTCCTTTTGAACTGTGTAAATCCTTTTCGTTTGCATTTATTTTTTTCCTCTCCATTTTTAATAAAATTTAATAAACTTAATTTTATAATATTTTTAATATTTTAGTTTAAAAAGTCAAATTGTTAAAAAGCTTTTAAGAATGTTATTTAAGGAAATAAGGCAACTGATTAAATTCAAAGCAGAAATGCTGTTTACTTTTGTTAACATATGAATGCAATATGCAAGGAGTCAGAGCATGCATTGCAAAGCAACTTAAGAAGAAAAATGCAGGTGCATTACCAGGCATTCTTCGTTAAGTGAAAATGATATTTTCCATGCTGTATGGCTACAAGAAAACATTAGGACACTATTACATGTGGTAGAATGATTGGTGAGCTTGAGAAGGAGCGAAGTTTGATATCTGTCGTCGAAGAGGTTGTAATTGATAAAAGTGTTGTTTCAGTTACAGCTGTGGGAAAGGTTTGTGGTGGTTGGCAAAAGAAAACAATGACGGCTGTTGACCGCTATATTGCTCTGCAGGTGAAAAGAGATTGAAACCAGACAGCGGTAACATTGCTTAACAGTCTCACATGGCAAAATCATGCCGTATTTTACTGCGGCCAGACAACTTCATAAAGGTAGCCTATTCACCTGTCATCCTGAATGCTGCATGCCATTGACAGCAGCCCATTAACGGCACTGTTTACGGTGGTGTAGAGAACACAAAGACTGAACATCTCATCAATTGAGTCACCTCCTCTTTACAGATAATAGTCATTTCAGTCTGACAAACAATTTTTGCCATCAATACTGATATGGAGAACAGTAGGGACATACTTTCATTTCATTATACATCAGGAAAAAAGTCCACTTAAATGGTCCTGACGTGCTTGTTTAGGGACACATTATAATGAAGGGGCGCATGAAAGTCCACATTTTTGACATAGGTTCACTTACCGGAGATTGTTACTGTGATGAAGATATCTTCCACCACATGCATCTTTTATGGCCATTGGTCTCGACTTTGATATTATGGATGACAGTGCATGCTACACAGGGCTCATGCTGTTAAAGAGCTCCTGGAAAGTAAAGATTTCCACGGACTGAATTGGCCCTCATGCTTCCCTGATTTAAATCGCATTGAATATATGTGGAATATTTTAGGGAAAAACCTGGACACCAGACAAAAGAAACAAATGCTACTTGAAGAATGAGACGTCTTGCCTCAAGAACTGTTAAATAATACGGTAGAGTATTGACAGATGATGCAATGCATACACTGTAGTTAGGGAGGTCATATTCCTTACTAATGCTGTTTGTTTTCATGTTTTCTCTCATGACCAGACAGTTTTTTTTCTGCCATGCCATTCTGTCAATAAAGCCATTTTCTGTTTCTTCCTTATTATATGCTTCTTATTCATTTTTTCCTACTATACTTTGCTCATTCTGTAAGTACTACATTGTGACTCTCTTATATAAGTATCATGTGCATTTTTTGCAAAATTATGACCCAAATCAGAAACGTTGCTTAAATTTTGCACTCTAATTCTATTGTTTTAAATAATGCATAAATAAAGGCTATACTGATAATTATTCATTCACCAAAATCTTAAACATAGGTTTAAAAAAATATTTGATGAGTTGTGATAGTTATTTTGACTTTTTAGAATCTACTTTTTATACATACTGATATTTTTTTCACTCATACTGATAATCTTTGAAATAGGAGACAATTCTAACTACCAAATTTTGTGTGCAAAAGAATGAAATGTTAAATAAACTTTTTTTTCTGGAAAAACCCTCGAAATATTTATATGACATCTGTACTATGATTCTAAACTAATAAGTGGACTGTATAGCAAAAGAACTAACTAATTTATTTACATTAACTAACTATTCAGATCTAATACATGCTCTGGCATGTTGCTTAGCTGAATCCAGATGGCCAAGTGAGAGTTTCTCTGCTTATCCAATAGGTGGCGCTATATTCTAACTTAACATGCCGCCGCCCGTTGAAATTACAAATTTCAACATACAAATTACTAACATACATACAATTTAACAATCAAGAAAAACTAATTCTACACTACAATATGAAAGATGATAGATAATTTCATCATGAATATAATATAAAATAATGCAACATTTTAAAAACATAAACATTCACTATTCTACAATCGAACTTATTCTTTAAACAGTTCCATTTTAATGTAAAGCACAATTTTTTCAATAAGAACATAATAATGTAAACTAAGCATTATTATCCTGGATAGGTAATAAACAAATTTTACTAATACATCGAATATACACACCATTTGATGTTTTCACTTTAACAACTCTGGCCTTATTATCTTTACCAGGTAAAACTTCTAGAAT